AGATGTTATATTACATAAAATTTTTAATTTTATTCTCTGTATTCAAATTCTTGAATAATATATTAATAATTCTTATTATATTTTATATAGATATTACTATAATATTTCCTGAGAACTTTAATTAAATATTAATCTATTTAAGAAGAAACATAAAATTAATATTATAATATTTTATAAAGTTTATAATATACCAAATTTAAAGAATATAGATATTTTAATAAAAAAAGATATTATAATTACTAGTATATTAATATATCTTTATTTTTAAAATTTAATTATTATTATAAATACATATTTAAATCTATACTGGATATGCCAGATATAATTAATTATAATATTTAAAAATGAAATCTTATATCTTATATATATATAAATCTAGTTCTGGGACACCAAGCTAGTTATTTTCTAAAAATATCAAGAAAAATAAAAATAGAAAAAGTATTTAAATAGAATAAATTACTAATTTACTTTTTAAAGTATTAATTAATATTAATATAATTATTATATAAATTTTTAAATTCATTTACTTGAAATCTAAAATAAATAAAAGCTTTTAGAAAATTACTATTATTAATAATTAAATATACCAGCTAAAAAGCAAAATTATAATTTATAAAAAAAGTTTTATTATTTATTTTATTTATTTATTTAATATACAGATTTATACAGAAAATTTAATATATAATTTTTAATATAAATAAGATAATTAAAAATTCAACCTTCTCTGACAGTTAAAAATAATTAATAAAAATATATATAGAAATATTATAAAAACAATTTAAAAGAATATCCAGAACTATTCTTACTAATTTATAAAAATTATATATAATAACTATTTTTTTCTGTTCCTCTAACTACATGTAATATAAATAATAATAATAATTATATTATTATTTAAAATTTATAAAATAAAATTTATAATTATAAAGATTCACATTAAATTAAATTTAATATTTTAGGATAATATATTTATCTCTGACTATAATACTATAGATATTAATAATAAAAATAATGTTATTAATAATATTAATAAAATAAATAAAAAGAAATTTTTTTATTTTTCTATTATGTCTACTTATCTTACAGCAGCTTGTTAATTTTAATATTAATATTTTTATCTAGTAATTCTAGCATAATGTTTTTATTTATTAAATAAAATTTACTTATCTATAAATAATAATATATTTATTTAATATATTACCAGACACTCCTCTGCAGATCTTATTATAATTAATATTATTATTACAATATCTATTCTACTAGGCTAGCCCTTGTTATTAAATTATATTATTCTAATTTATAATTTTATTATTATATATAATATACTTATAATAAATTCTCAGATTTTCTTAATTATTTGAAGAATGAAGAGACTGTTCAGCTAATTAATAAAAATATTATTATGAATAAATTATTTATAGAGTATATTAGTAATCTTAATAATAAATAATAAATATATACTAAAGAGCCTGCTGATAATATCTTATCTTATAATAATATAATTATTTATATTAGATATTATTTATAATAAATTATTTTATATTATATAGATACCACTACTGGAGCAGAAATAATAATTAATAATAATATTATTATTATTAATTAGAAATTATTTATTAACGTATTCAACGGTTGGGCGGCCCACACGGTTGGGCGGCCCACCTCCCTACCCGAATCACTCGATATCTTCAAAATGAAGCCTTTAATTCAACACAAACGCTTATAAAAATGCCATATAATTAAAAACTAGGTGGTTTTGAATACTGTGTACGTCGGTGACTAATAATGAAGTAATTAGTGCAACGTGGAGGCGCGCGCGAGGAGGTCTCTGTAAGTAAAGATTAAGATAGAGATTAAGATTTAATCTTAATTTCTTTATTATCCTGTACTTTCTATTCTTGCTGGATTGTATTCTGAATCTTCTTAATAATAATATCTTTTATATAGATTACTTACTTTCTTGAATATTTTCTTTTTTATAATTATTTTATATAGCTAGTATGTGGTTTCTTATTCTTCTTGGCCAGTATAATTAAGTTTATTATTATTAGCTTATATTCTTTAAGAAGTTGATATAGTGTAAAATAAGTAAATGGATTAAAATTATTTAATATTTCTGAAGTAGTTGTTCCACTGTATTCTGATACTTAGAAAAATATTTTATATTATATAATATTTGAAGTACTGAGCCACTTGACTGATTATCTAAAGAAGATAATATTTTAAAATAAATATTAAGCTAGAAAAGTATTTACTTAGAATCCAGAGAAATAAGACCTGTTGTTTTAAATCTACTAATAATATTTAACTTTATTAAAGACTGTTAATATATCTTAGAATAGATTTCTAGAAAGTTAAGCTTATTAATATAATTATAGCTGTATTATGTCTGCTTTTAAATCATATTTTTATATATATGTTTAAGTATATTAAAATAACTAATATCCAGAGATTAAAATAGATGAGATAAATGCGCGGGTATATATATAAAAATAATATTATTTTTAATACAGATTAAATTGAACTCAGGAGTTAAATAACTGCTATAATTATTAAATATTAGAAGATTATACTTATCTATTAATTTATTTCTGATCTATGGAATAAAGTATTTTTAAAGCTATTAAAAACTAATTATATTAGTAATCTAATTATTATTACTGATTTAAATTCTTTAGATAGAAGGAATGGATTAATTTTTATACTAGATCTTGAGATATATTTTACTTTTAAAGATTAGAATTAAGAGTAGAATTACTCTAGTAAATTAAATATATTTAATTAAAGTAATCTATTTCTGATTTTCTGATTAAATTAGAGATAGCCGGCCTGCTCTCTGGGAACTAGTTATTATTTTAATTATAGTAATTATCTTCATAGTAAATCCTGTTTTATTAAAATTATAGATATTATTTAATAAGATTCTATACTCTTGTATAATCTTCTAGATCTAATTAAATTAGTTTTTTATAATTTTAAAATTCTTTATTTAAGCTCTTTAATAATTATATTATCTAATATAGCAGGTTCAGAGGATTTTATAGTATTTAATAAAATTATAGATCCAGTTAATATTTATTTCTTTAAAAGTTATATAATCTTGTTTAGATAGAATCAGATTAATTATATTTCTAATTTTAAATGGCTGGGAACTTGTATCTTATTTATCTAGAGATAGAATTTATTTAATAAGTAAATCTTCTTTGTTTTTTAATAATTTTTGATATATATAAATTATATCTCTAGTAAAATTATATCCAGATAGTTAAGTACAAAGAGTAATTCAAGTAATATCATAAATATATACTGCCTGGCGGATACTGGTGATTTAACTTTTTTGAATAGTTTTAATAGCTAGAAGGATCCTGCCTTCCTGTTCTATCTGTACTTTTAATAAGATAGACGTTTTTGGTGGCATCTGTAGTGGTTGAATGGCATCAGGTAGGAATTCAAGGGGGTGTTTTTGATGGGGTGGGCCGCCCAACCGTGTGGGCCGCCCAACCGTTGAATACATTATTATTTATAATATTATTAATCTAGAACTACTTACTACTACTGATAATATTACTATTATTAATCTATAACTATTTAATATTGTATAATTCTTTGAAAATATAAATAATACAGTCATCCAACTTCTAAATTTAATTAAGATTATAAATATATGCTTTACTGTATTTAATAAATGTTGGTGCTGGCCACCAACGACTTGGGCGAACCTGCTAGGTTCCGCCGCGTGGTTCTGCCACCAGCGGCCGCCTTGCGAGGAAGGCCACCCTCCCCGCCGATAGTTTAGAGTAACGAGACAACTAAGGAAATACAATACTACAATTCGTTCATCATTCGCACAGGTAGCACCAATAAATAACTAAATTATATTAAATAATATAATTAACTATTATAAGACATCCTGCTCTATAATAAATAGCTTTTTATTTAAAAACTATTTTAATTATAATAATAAATCTTTGTTTCTTCGTCTTTATCTGTTAAGAAGAAAGTTATTAATACTAGTACTAATATATTTAAATAAATCTTGATTAGTTAGCAGCCGCTTACAGTAAAATAACTGACTAAGGAAAGCTAATCTCTTAGCCGTCCTAGATAGTTTTAGTAACCAAGAATAATAAGAAATTATTAAGATTTGTTTATCATTCCACACTGGTAGCACCAGCCTTATTGGATCAATTTCTTAAATATATTAGGTAAGAAAAATTAAATTTGAATTAAGATTTTTCATATAAGGATTATTACTATCCCAGTAGATTATACATGGAAATATCTGATAAAAATGAACATCTATTATTTGATAAAGAGAGTAGGCCCCTATAGCTTTCTAAATGAAGTATAAAGCGGTACCAGTAGGCATAATAGGATGTGGAATCTGACCATAGGGTTAGAGTGACAACAGTGTTGGTGCCGGCACCAACAAGCTATCTGCTGGTGCTTGCTGAATGTTCCACTTATAACATCACTCTTTAAGGCGCACTAAGAATAAATTTGGACATCAGTCTTAGGTTCGCACAGGCCGGGGTCTCAACACTAGGTGTTTCCGGGGATAAATAATCAGTCTAGGGTAACTAGATGTTAGTTGCTACTATGATGTAAGCCCAACATTAACACATCTCCAACAACGCCCCCTAACAGCCTTGCTCCTGTTTCCTATCATAAGGATCAAAACTAGAATTTAAAGAACATATATGACAAGGAGATAAAAACTATTTTCAATAAACTAAATTACATAAGTCTGCTCAAGGCAAGGGATATAGTCCAATCCTAGCCATGACACCCCTCAGCTAGTCAATCGACCCAAAAGAATAAAACTTGAATTAAAATCCATATCTCTATATTAGCAAGTGTAAGTCATAAAATGATGTATCACGTCGTCGATAACCATGGTCAAGTCCCGCCGAATGGCCGTGTCGCCAGAGAGCCCATATGGCCCCGAGACATGGCCCATACAGGTCACCTTTAAATCAGGCATTGCAAAGACTGGAATATCACTGAGCCTTCTTGGTATCCTTCACAAACTTGTTTTCCCTTCTCCTCTTGATAGCCTCCGGGGAGTATTCGGTGTCCAGAAGATAATCCCACCACCTGAAGCTGCTGGAATAATTTCCTACAAACTTCTCGTGATGGAGATCATGGTGGTCTGCGCCAGCCCAGAAAGGGAGGAAGTGATGAAGACTCCATGGAAACTCATAGCCACTGTGCGCATCAATGGCCTGGAAAAGCCGCAAGACGATCCAGATGTACATCGTAAAAATATGCAGATCGCCGGTTACTGCACACCATAGAATTGGGCAACCAACAGTACCAAATCCAAGAATCATGACTTCAATTGGAGAAGCATATTCAGCTGCCATACCGAAAGGTGCGGAATATTGATGGTGAATCTTGTGGATGGCTTTATACAGTGGACCCCAATGGAGAGCACGGTGGGAAAAGTAATGCCACGTGTCTTCCAGGACAAAGAATATCGCTATCTGATAAGCCATGGTCCACAAAGAGGGAAAAGGTACAGAGGTGGACAGGCCAAAAAACTGGGCCATCGGGTGGAAAAGCCTAGAGCTGTTAGTAACGCCATCACATATGGCCCATAGGAAGATCAAGTATTTCCTCACCATATTTGTGGCAGCTCTACGGTAAAATGGCTGAGTAGCACAAATCTAGCACAATCCCATTGCTCTCGTAAGGATGGTATCTTGCTCTGTAACCCAGTTAGAACAATGGCAAGTAAGCTTCGGTGATCCTGAGCCTCACGCTTTGAATCTTGTAGTTCTTGAACAAACCGAGAGTGTCTATAAAGATCCAAGGGAGGGAACGCCCGAAATATACAATTTCGTGCATTACAAAAGACATGATTCCAGTTGCAAGAACGTCATTTTGCATCCAGGCATACCATGCTGTCCATAGTCTTTCGACCACGTTCAGATGAGTATTGTATTTGGAGATTTCTTCAAACTGGCCCCAGTATGATTCTGGCGTAGACAGCAAGGTGGAATTCCTATGTCCTGTAAGAACTCATATATAAAACGGGTGGTACATCAAAAGCTGCTCACATTGTGCAGGGACGCAGGCCGGCTTTTGCCCTTGGCACTTTTCTTCTCAACTCTCCTTCAATAAACCCTCGCTATCAGAGCGAGAATACGTAGACGACAGAGGTATGTGAGGTTTAGAGAGTCGTGTTTATGCGATTGGCATATGGCCAATGTTATAAACGAGGATAAACGTGTTGCAGCGACAAATAAGTAGTTGTTAATGAATTGTTGCCTGTGAGAGGTTGGCTGGTATTTCAGGAACACTTGTGGAAGAAGCGCGCGACCAGGACAGCCGCTCCCGAGGTGGCGAGACCTTTTCCCCCTGGCCTTGGACCTTTCTGGCACCACTGGCTAGCCGACTGGGACCGATATTAATTAGCTCCACTTGCTTGGAAACTAGTCTGTATTCCTTGGTAGATACGTTAGTATTATTATCTAATTAAATTATTATTCCTACCCCTAGCAGCTAATCAAAGCGACCTCCTCACTACACTATATAGAGCATTTGCTTTGTATATATTGGTGGACTAGATTAGATCTAGGCAGCACCCGGGTAGGTTAATGAGACATACTCTCCGTGCACTATATGAACATGTACATACACCTGCCCTTCTGAATGGAGGCAACATGGTTCGGGAGATTTCAGACAGGGGGCCAGGGGGCCAGATTACTAAGCCATAACCAGTGGCCCGAGGACTACAAAGCGAAGGGCGTGCTGAGCATAACTTTCATATCACACAAATATTACTTGTATTATAGTCACTGCCGTGTCCGGTGTTCATTGTACTTTTGTATAGATTTCCCAACATATTGAGCCCTCCGCAGACGGATGTTTTTTTCTTGATTGGCCTTATTTATCTCCTACCTCAAGCTTGACTCGCTGTGAGTTCAATCGCCTTACGATAGATGTAGTAGCAATTCAGGTAATGCTCAGAACACCGTGTTACCCTGCCATAATCCACCAACTGATACATTTGATTATATCATCTGGTCTGAAGAGAGAAGAGAGTACATGATGCAAAGGGTGAAAGTGGGCTTGGTGTTTGCATGATTTGCTTGGTGCGCATGACGCCATTATTCTTAAACCCGAACTTCTTGAGTAGTATTCCTTCTGGTTATTCCACTTATTTTTCATTGTTCGCCCTACCCTGCCGTTTGCTTCACCATTCGCAATGTATGCGGTAAATAAGTAAGTTACTCAGTCGTATTGTCAGCATGAGGGGAGTATTGACACTGTCACCGTAGGGCATACGGTCTGGATGCACATTTTGATAAATTGTGGCGGCAAATAAGCGATAATGCCTATCCGAAATCGCTAGACGTCTACAAACACGCAAGCCAAGCAAAATACCCCATTGAGAATGTCGCGAAACTGGAGAAGCTCATGGACTCACTTTCCGTGACATCCAAGTCTCAACCGTTACTGCAGACGGAAAGGCTTTTGAAAATAATTGCCGAATACCCCGATGATGTGCTCAATGCTGATCCCACGCTGCCAGACGTGAATGTTTTCATGGCACACGTCGTAGACACTTCTTGGCTCGTAGCTGCTAAGGCTGCAGTCCAGACTCTCGGAGTTATACTGAATACGCTATCAGATGATGTGCTCTCCCTCAATGACGAGATGCTCTATTGGGATAGTGTTTTGGAGTCCCCCTGGTCACTTGGGCTCTATATGCTCCAAACCTCGCCAGTGGTGCTTTGGAACAGATCCCGAAAAGTCTGGCACCATGCTAACTCCATGAACAATACCCGGACGTCCGGTCAACCCAGCTGGATGCAATTTTACGAATCTGTTCGTCAGTGTGTCCTTCCCCAAAGTTTGCATTTTTGGCGGGGAAGGATGTTATCACCACTCTCAACAGCGAAGTCAGATGTACGGCAGAAGCGGAAGATATTGAGTTCATTGAAAGATATGAATGCTTGTAGCATAGGGATCCTCATAAGAAACAGTTTCTCATGCGCAGTTGGCGACAGTTTTACAGGCGACAATTCTACAGGTGACAATAGCCATGGTATGTTCACTGAGAGCTGGCAGATCAACGTCCTTGAGAGTGTGGCCTTGATGAAATTGCTTCTCGAAGATACTGAAAAGGGAAGTGTCCCGTGGAATCATGAAGAGCACATAAACATGGCGATCAATCAAGAAGTCACGTCGATGCGCATGCATTACTGCAGTGATCTATCATCTGAGGGTCCGAGATTTGTCATGAACCAATTGGGCTATATACTTGAACAGCTTCTACCGGCCTATGCCAAAGCTTCAGCCACAACAATCAACAACTCTGGACGCCCCCATTACCTAGTACGTTTTTGGTTACCTTTGACCCTTGCACTATTATCAACAAGTACATCATTGGAGCTGTTACGGAATAGGCGCCATGAGCTCTTGGAATGGATTGCCAATTTCGGTTCAACCACTATCGAGTTTTGGAACAACTGGGTTGTAGACCCACTTCGCAGGCTTGTCGGCACTATAAGACATGATGAAAAGAGTGAAATTGCATTGATGAGTAGAAACAGCTTGGAAGCCGATCGAGCGAGTTTGGAAAGAATGGTTGTGGACTTCGTTCTTGATCGTTGTGAACCGAACAAGAATGACTATGATGCTTTTGATACCCATGTCATTGCTGCTAAAGTCCGGGAAGGTGACTTGACACCAGTGCTGAAAGCATATGAAAATGACCTACGTAGTCCTTTTGTCGGGACCATCAAGGGTGATTTGGTGCGAGCACTTCTGATACAGATACAGAAAACAAAAGTAGATGTTGAAATCGCGATAGGGGGAATTGACGCTCTGTTGAAAAGCCAAGAGCTGGTTTTTGGGTACGACTTCCGACCAAGAATACCAGAATAGCCGTTGACTTTCTATAGGTTTATTGGACTAACCCCAGGCTTAATGGTGTCATTTGCGACTCTTCGTTGGCTTTACGGCTTGCTGGGCAGTCGAAGGGGCTTCCGAATGGGTAAGCAGCAGGACGAACTGAGGCATGCTTTGCGGTAAGTTCTGGCCTAGTCCCAAAGAACAATTTGATTCAAGCCTAATATATCGCTGTAGGATTGTACATCGGACTTTGACATCGTCTGCCTCCACTCCTGGCAATGCGCTGGCATTTAGAGACTATGGTCTCCTCATATGCAACGCCGAAGTCCTACTTTCAAAGGCGCGGATCATACTGAAAGGCGCAGATCTCCGTTCATTCCAGGAAGACATCAATGAATTAGTCGAGCGAGATACGATTGACCGGCAACTCAAGGTTGTTGAACGAATGGGCTGGGTCTACTCAAAATGGATTTGATGCAATCCGTTATGCTCACTCTTTTGGTGGAAAATATGTTTCATGCCTTTCGACTTTGGCGGCTGACAATATTCTCGACAAGTATTACTGTATTATCTCTTACGTTCTGTCGTAGACGTATTGTCGAATAATGATAGAATATTGTGGTGCTCCAATCTACACCAAGCTTATGTACAAGGGAGCTCATTTCTACACCTTGGTATATCTCGGACAATCCTAGTGTAAACCGGGTGAAATGACGTGTTCGATGTTAGTGACCATTTCAATACCCAAGGATATGATCAAGGCTACGGGGTATTGATGCTATATCTTCAAGTAATACTCTTGATTTTATTATTGTTTTTGTCTATCGTGTTTGGAACATATGACTGGAGCCACAAATGAACAGTAGCTGTCTTAAAGTGGTATAAAAGCTGATAGTTAAATACTTTCATCTGTGGGGTGCGCTTGGGTAGACCGGACGATACTAGGCGATTACACAAGTGACCGGGATACTACTCCGAACATGTACTCACTGTACGTGCATATACTGCTGCCAGCTTCCTAATAAACCTTGGAAGGAAATCAGTTCCCAAAGATAAGTCGTGCTACTGTTGTCTATCGAATGAATTATTCCCCCGGCAACTTTCCGAAATTCAACGTGTCCAACGTCGCCGATTCTTACTTCAACAAAAGGTCTCCGATACAACACCTGTCTTGTCCCGTCCCGTCCCCTGACCCCATTCTCCGGACCGGCTCCTGGTTCCGTGGAAGATCCTGAATCCAGCACCTGCCACTATTCGAAGACTTGAGTTCTCTTACAGTCGGTATTATTGACGGAGACAAGCAGACAAGTTAAGTGAAGTGAAATCTTGATTCCAGCCAAACACAAACTTGTCGAGAAACCATAAGCGGAATCGGAAGGGATAGGAGAAAAGAGAGGGGGCACGCAAGACCAACAGAGGAGAGGGGAGAATAACGTCAAACCCAACTAAGACGAATATCGAGTAGGGATTAGCACAACGCAGAACATAAACTCACTATCACGGCTTTTATCCCTCGCTCTCTGTATACCTCGAGTCTGCAACAACAAGATGGCTGGTACAAGGAACTACGACTTCCTGGTGAGTATTGATTAATGCCCCAAGAAATCAATAAGCTAAATATCGGTCTCTGTAGATCAAGTTACTGCTGATTGGTGACTCTGGGGTCGGAAAGTCATGCTGTCTGTTGCGATTCAGTGAAGACTCGTTCACTCCGTCGTTCATTACTACCATCGGAATCGACTTCAAGATACGTACCATCGAGTTGGACGGTAAACGCGTAAAGCTCCAGATATGGGACACAGCTGGGCAAGAGCGATTTAGAACTATCACTACCGCATACTACAGAGGAGCTATGGGCATACTTCTTGTATACGATGTTACCGACGAAAGATCATTTCAAAGTGAGAAACGCTTTCCTTAAACCCGAGGTGGATCATGAGATAATTTGATGCTAATGCCCAATCGCCTTACTTAGACATTCGCACTTGGTTCTCAAATGTTGAGCAACATGCGAGCGAAGGCGTTCACAAGATCCTTATTGGCAACAAATGTGATTGGGAAGAGAAGAGAGCTGTGTCAACTGAGCAAGGGCAGCAATTGGCCAATGAGCTGGGAATACCATTCCTTGAAGTATCAGCTAAGAACAACATCAACATCGAGAAAGCGTTTTATGATCTCGCATCCGATATCAAGAAAGGAATGGATACGTCGAAGTCCGAACAGGTCGGCTCCCAGGGCGTGAGCATAGACCAGCAAGGTTCTGGGTTGAACGGCAACGCGGGTGGGAAATGTTGTTGATTTGTTAGTACACTCTCGTTTGGTCTTCGGGTTATCTTTTTCCATTATGACTCTATGTCTTTGCGTGTTACAGGTTTGTGTGCCATGGCTTCAATACATCATTATGTTCACGGTTCGAATAGATGCTGGGAAGCTAATTGGCTGATTCTGCTCCTAACCCATGTATGTTGATAATGAAGGCAGGGGCTTATGGTTTTCGTGAATGCCTTCATTCTTCTCTCTGTTCTGTCTTGGGTCGTCATCCATTTACTGCGATCGAATTTTCCCAGGTGGCGTTTCTCTGTTGTATTCATTACTGTGCAAGTGAAATTAGGTATAGCATAAACAGTCTTTTGCAAGTGCGGTATACATCACCCGCCAGCATCTCCTAATAAACATGAGGAAACTTGGGGCATGTCCGTATCTGAATGGTCTTGGCAAAAGTTGACTGCAGCCGGAGACAATCATGATGGTGGTCGTACTATAAATTGAAGATCGTCGAATAGGGATAGCACCGAGGTATTGAGCATCACCACACTAGGAGCGTTGATAAAAAACGCGGGCCAGAAAAAAGATGTTCCTGGAGGATCATGGTCTAACCTAACCAAAGATGATGGGGTATAAGCTACTTGGATAGGTAGAAGAATGCATGAAGTTCGTTGGTAATGTGCACTTCTGTGAGAGTTAGTCTTCTCTGTACGGTTTGAACACATCTCATTCAGTAACTTAATATAGCACTGACACTAGCACTGGCATTGCCATTCTCTCATTGTGCCGGAAAGAAGTTACTATCGAGTACTCAGAAACATTTGCGGCCGGTATAGTAGACCATGATGTTAATATTGTATCTTCTGCTCCTCTCAAAGTGGGGCTGTGTGGATATCCATTTGAGATGGCCCATTATTTTGTGAACGAACACTTTACGGAGTACAGATTTTGTTCGGAACCCTGTTTTCTCCATCCTTTGTCTTTCTACATCGTATGAATCAGTCAAGGATAGCAACAATAGAAAAGAGGGAGATTTCCTGAAAGAGCCTTCCAAATCCTTGTGTTGGTTTTCCCTTTATCGGACTTTTAATCTTTCTTTTCGATCCCGCTTTTCTCAATTCAGTATACGCGCTCAGCAGCCAGTTTACTTACGCCTTTCTCGGATCACCTATCTGTAAGTCAAGGCAGTCACAATGTTCCAACAAGTCAAATTTATTGTTTCCGGTGCCTAGGATTTGCTTACAAAAAAAATCATTATGCAGGTCATGATACTGTAGAGAGCAGGTGTACTCAGCTGCAGTAGTGGGAACGCGGGACACTAGGCGTTACTTTTGGAGGGGCCTTCAGCTACCGCTAAAAAAATGTCCGAGACTCGAGCCTTCACAGTTCGACCGCTGTCAAAACAAACAAGAACTGATCATAGAGATGCCTTTCGCGTTTATCTCTCCTCGTCATCCCTGGCTTTTCTGAAGCTCAGAGCTGGAGATGTGTGCAACATTAGTCTCGCCGACGGTCCATCGAGAACGGCAATAGCTTGGAACGCGACCGAGAACATTCAGAATACGGTTGTACAGACCTCAAGGACTCTTCAGGAATGTTATGGATTCAAAATTGGGGAGAAGATTACAATATGCAAGGTCGATGGGCCCCTGAATAAGATCGACAAAGTCTCCATTATAGAGTGTTCAGATAGTGATAGGATTGCAAGATACGGCGCGATTCCACCCTCTGACATAATCCACTGGTCATGGTCCCTGGAGTTTCCTCTTCTGAAATGCGATGGCATTACTGTTGGCCTAGTATTTGAGGTAGAGCTTAGGGGCCAACGCCGGAGCTTCAGAGTGGCAGATATCTCAGGTGAAAATGGAAGTACTACCTGTACTCTCTTCAGGTTCGCCGAAACCAGCGAGATCATAATGGGCGAAGATCTTAAGAAACCTCTAGAGCGCGGAACTTCCAATATCCAAGTGCGGCCGACTGGGCTGGGAGGGATGGACCGGCAAATCGAGAGTATCAATGAAAGTCTTGCTGACTTTAACCCTGGTCTAGTCAATCTAGTAATGCCTTCATTCTATGAACACAGTCGAGGCATTCTTCTTTATGGTCCGAAGGGAACAGGTAAGACGGCGCTTCTGGAACAGATTAAAGCAGCAGGGTGGAGGCAAACATTCCATATTGGGTCCTCAGCCTTTGGCCGCAATATCGGGGATGCCGAATCCAAGATGCGCAATATATTCCAAGAAGCAATGCGTTCTCAACCCAGTGCAATCCTGATTGACCAGGTGGAGTTCATTGCGCCTAGACGGACATCGCTCGATAGCCAGTCGTTGGCATCGGTTCTATGCGAATGCATTGACGCTACAAAGAATGCATTCGTTTTGATTGTGGCTGCAACCCGTCATCCCAATGATGTCGATGATGCCCTGAGGACACCGCATCGACTAGCAACTGAGATTGAACTGCATATTCCGACAGCACAGGATCGAGCCAAAATATTGCGTGCTATATGTGGAACCCCATCCCCGGCATTGAGCGATACCCTCATAGACTTGATAGCGGAGAAAACCCATGGTTACGTGGGTGCCGATCTCTTCGCTTTGCTTCAGTTGATTAGTCGCAAGGCACGACAAAGACAGATGTTGGAACCTGAACTTTGTTTTGGTGACAAGCGCATACCTGCCGATATTGCTGTTGAAGGTCCGGCCACACCTGAAACAGGAACAGCTATACATATCAAGGACGTTGATGTCCTATCAGCCCTACAGGAAACTCGACCTACTGCTATGCGGGAAGTGTTCTTGGAGACGCCCAAGGTCAGGTGGTCGGACATTGGTGGGCAGCACGAAATTAAGAGACGTTTGCAGAAAGCAGTGGAGCGTCCATTGAAGGTAAGCGCACACCTTTAGATTGTGTTGTGGCAGTTCTGACAAGGCCAAGCATCCCGAGCGAATGAGGAGGCTTAATTTGACCAGCAAGAAAGGTGTACTTCTTTACGGGCCACCTGGATGCTCTAAGACGTTGACGGTGAAAGCATTGGCCACGGAAGCAGGGCTCAACTTTCTGGCAGTCAAGGGAGCCGAGATTCTAAGCATGTACGTCGGAGAATCTGAACGAGCATTAAGAGAAATCTTTCGAAAAGCTCGTTCTGCAAGGCCCAGCATCATATTCTTCGATGAGATAGACGCTATCGCCTCGAAACGTGGCACTTCATCACAAGGCGGGGTTAATGTTCTTACAACTCTTCTCAATGAAATGGATGGCATCGAGGAGCTTAAAAGTGTCCTAGTCATCGCCGCCACAAACAAACCTGAAGTGATAGACCCGGCGTTGATGCGCCCCGGTCGATTGGACAATATACTTTATATAGGACCTCCCGACTACGAGGCGCGGAAGGAGATCTTGGACATATGGTTCCGCAAATCCGTCATTAACCCGGAAGTTGAGGTGGACGTGTTGGCCATGAAAACTGACGGGTATTCAGGGGCTGAGATCGTGAGCATATGTGAGACAGCCGGTGATGCTGCGTTGGATGCAGAAGAGGAGACCGGCGAAGCGCAAGATATCCGATGGGAGCATTTCGAGTATGCGCTTAAGCAGGTGAAGAGACAAATAACGGCTGCTGTTGTTGAAGCGTACGAACAGTGGGGTGACTCTGTTGACATATGAGCACAAGTGTCTCTATATAGAAACTATATAACGATGCGATCATTCCGACTTGGAAGTAATAAACCAATCTTCAAGCATGGAGCTGCTGTTAACTGACTGGGTACCTTGTTCAACATGTGGGTTCTCTTATTCTTAGACGAAAAGGAAAGAAACCAAGACCGAGAAAGTAGAAGAAAGAGAAAGAGAATGAGAAAAAAGAAAACAGGAAAGAAAGAAAATGAATGATATTATAGCATTGGTTCTTGATGTGCAGGGGATTAGGATAACAAAGCTGGGACCCGCCTATCGTGCGGATAGCAAACCTACCTGGCTCTGACCTTCATACATGACACAACAAGCTGCCAATTACTCTGCAACTTTTGATCCGTCTTGGGTAACCCCACTCCATACCAACCAGACCTTCGATGCGTCTCGCTCCCTTGATATCTCGCTTACCCAGACTTATTTCTTGCTACAATCTGTTCAGCTTGCCCTTGGTGGTTTTCTAGAAAGCTCCCTCCACCAAGTGGATCCTGTAGGATGCCAGAAGAATACACTCGGGGCCGCTCTCGTGGCCGTTTGCCATCCTCGGAATTTGATCGGGCCCCATCCTTGCAGCGTTCTTTGTCCCCTCGCTCAGAATCGAGATTCAACACCACACCCCGGAGGCGTTCTGTGGAGCGTGGTGCTGTTCGCCGCAATGGTCACCGTTCCAGAAGCTGGTCGCGGTCACCGTCGCACAACAGAGCGCTATCCCGTAGTCGAAGCCGAAGCCGAAGCTCAGCTCCCAGACGTTACAGAAAGAAAGACTTCAGTCGGACCCCGAGTCCCTCTGCCGATGCTTCAAGAAGCTCAAAGGTCGGTTGCGCTTGCATCATCCCAGTCTGTAGGTTTTATGCTGGAACTAACGGAAATCAAAGATAGTTATTGAAAAGTTGACCAAAAATGTTACCGAATCACATCTTCGGGAGATATTTGGTGGTTTTGGTGACATACAAAGTCTTGATCTCCCCATGAATAAAGCTTGTAAGTCCTATAGACTCATGCTTTCCTACATGCCCAGGCTGACGCTCTACTAGTCATGACAAACAGGGGCACTGCATACATACTGTACCACGATCCTGCGGATGCAGAGGCAGCCATCGCGCATATGCATGAAGCTCAGCTAGATGGTGCCACGTTGAATGTGTCGATTGTCCTTCCTAGGAGAGCTTTTTCTCGCTCACCACCACCAGTTCAACATAGCAGAGCAAGCTTTGGCCGCCCAGGACATGGCCGCGGACCCCCGTCGGATAGTCGCGCTCCAAGGTCACCGCCACCGGCTAGGAAATATCGCCGTTCTCGGCATATGGAAAGACATGACATCTATAGGCCTCGCTCTCTGTCGCGCTCCAGGTCGCCACGCCGCTCTCGATCCCTTTCTTCAAAATCCCGTTCAACTTCACCACCGCCAAGGCGGACACACTCGCGTATGGACAGCTCCCAACGTCGCCGTCGCCGTAGCCCGAGCTACAGCAGCTATGGCTATAGCAGTCGCAGCGATAGGGAACGGAGCGCGAGCCTAAGAAGAGACCATCATTAACCCAGGATTGTTTTACGATATGGTCTTGGTGTCATTTGATAGTCTTTATAGGATGTCACAATGAAGCTACCGTTCTTGGCGTCGTTCAACTATATGGGACTGGCAGAGTGATGATGGGGTGCAGGCCGGTGGACTTTACACTCGAATCAATTTGAAGCCTTGTCCTATAATTAATAATGTAAAGTTATCTTGTGCACGGGAGAAATTTAGGAAACCCAAGTCATCCGCAATCTAGCTCCAGCAATCACAAATCACCCAGGACCAGGGCCAGTGTCGAGAAGCACCTCTAGAAAAAGGCGCACCAGCCAATATACATAGCAGCTAGATTCTTTACATCCGTTGCTTGTACAATTAGTTCGTCTACGTGACCGTCTACCGAAAGGGGGACTGATTCCCCAGGTAGAAGGCCACGAAGTTTGTTGCGAACATTCTCTAAAACACCGGCAGGTGTCTCTGGGGCATTGGCATGTGTACGACGCTTCTGTTTATCAGCAACGTGAGCGTGTACATCTTGGGTGGTGCTTACCTTCTTCCCGATGAAGTCCGTGGTAGGGTCATGCAAGAACGTCTCCAGAACGGTCATGAGTGCGTCTTCGTTGTGGCGAAGTAGACCAAGACTAATTTCACATGTCTTGCGGAACGGACCTATCAATGATATTAGTACATGGACGTTTCAGAGGTCGATTAGAACGAACCATTGTATCCATAGGCACCGAACGCATCAACCATGTTTTGGGTCAAACGAAACGGAACCAATTCAGGTATATCGAATGTCAATCCCTATCCATGTCAGCCAAAAAGATGCAAGGCATGTTTGTCTTGGGCCTCGGGCGCCTAACCTTGTCGAAAAGGCAATTGAAGTCGACATGTAAAACACCTCCCGTGCCTTCCTCGAACAGTATATTTTCACCATGTCGATCACCTAACCTGCAGAGAAATGAGCTGAAAGGGACATATATCAGCAGACTGTGGATTGACGAACCCTAGGACATGCCCAACCATGGACATAACAGCACAGGAACGAGTATAGCGAATTCTGGCAGCAAACCATGATCCTGCTTCAGGAAACATTTCAATGAACCATTCATACAGAACTGGAGGAAACCTGCATCGAGATTAGTCTTGGAACGGAACGACTCAAGAGGAAGTGCATTCGGAAAACTTACTTTGACAAAACTTTTGTTGTGAAAAGATGGAGTTTTGAGTTGTCGGAGCATGCTTCGTTCAGGTCGTGTCTGATCTCATTATACTATAGTAGAACCACTTCAATAGCTGTATGGCTATCATCATGAGGCTGAAAAACTTACGTTTGGCGCGATGCCTCTCTCTCTCAAGAGCTTGATAACAATGTCCCTCAAAGCACGAAGGTTATCGACCCATTCGATTAGCCCGCATTCTTCGTTCAGCGGTGTCACAGCGTACGTTTTGATATCTGCCACAGCGATCACTCGGTCAGAGGATAATGGAACACAGAGGATATGATAGACGTTTGAGTACTTACACATCCGTCGTTTACTCGATTCCACATCCTTTTTGAAGAGCCGATTGATCATGTTGTTGAATTCCATGAGCCGTTGATCTTTGCGCAGGTCATCCTTGGGTTTGCACAGAATGTTGTATACTTTTCCGTCTGAGCCCCGGATCCCTATCCTTCGTGGTTTCTGGAGAGAATTCAAGACCTGCACATCGTCCAGTATGGCTATCAACAGTCAGTGAGGTTTTTGCAGAAGCCAAATTAAGACGCGTTACCTTCAATAGTCGTAGGATCCCTAGGGAAGGCCCTGAAACCTTTCAGGTATTCAGGTTTATGGCTGGCTGGTAGCGTCGGCGTTAACATTGCTTGGAACGGCACCACAAGCCTACAAGGCGCCACCTTATGACTGAACTTCAGATCACGCAGACTGACTCTCAGGACTTTGTCTTCGATGCGAGCTATACACAACCTTAGCATTTCCTCTGAGAACTTCTGTCCTTGATTTATCATGCCACGTATATCTGACGATGGCTGATTTTTCAGTTTCTTGTTGACTTCCTGCTTAAGATTAGCTCGAACTGATTTGATGCAGACTTGACCCACCGTAATCTTCTGCAGGCAGTTTATTCCTCTGGATGCCCGGTCCTTGGAAGAGGACTTAACCACTGCGAGGACAGTCCATAGCCCTTGTTGGGGAAATGAGTTAACTGCCCTGGCTACGATCTTGGTCAATAAGTCGTATACTGTCGTATTTGGGTGACATATCCTAGCAACAACTTGAGGGAGAATGGTGAAGAGCTGTTTCTAGTTAGCAATCTTTCATATGGTACTCGACTTTGTTACCAACCAGCGCAGCCGGGATCCTGTTCACATATTTCTTGAGTTGTGTATGCATATCATCGAGGCTCTTTTTTCGCTGACTCAGAGTGTGCTTTTGGAAATCTCTTTAAGTCGTCCCGATTATTCCAGTCAGCATGCGAATCGAGGTGAAGGTAACGGGAGTTGAATGTTTAGATCCCGAAGAAAATATTCACTACTTACTCGTTGTCGCCTCTCTTTGGATCAAACGGCTGGTCGACGGTAGAAGCGTGTTCTAGCCAGAGTGTCAAGATTTTGGGCAAGGACTGGAATACGTATTTGTTGCCATGGGCCAATGACCGGAGGTAATTGTCAACAACTAGTTTTGAGGCCTCGCCACTCAAGCTGGGAAAAAAAATGAGCCATTGATCATTTTGCAGGTCAGGGATAGGAATGCTGACTAGATCTGTGCTTCCTTTCCCAGAGGTTTTGCTTTTTCCAAATCCAGGATTTTGTTGTAGTGCTTGCCTAGGTAGTAATGAGCCTTCTCCCACCTAAGAACCAGTTAGCTTCCACTTCAAAACACCTGCCGTACCTTTCTGAAACATAGAGTTTACCTAGGGTGGAGCTTTATAGCTTCCCTGTATCTCTGGACGATAGCATCTGATTGTGTTTGCCCTGCCCTGTCTGTCCACTTGGCCAGGAGCAGATGTGCCTATATAATTGTTACAGTCAGATCGTGTCGGTAGCCTGTGGACGGTGACATACTCGAGCCAAGAGCATATTTTGATGTTCACCATTATTTGCAATTAGCGATGAGGTACGCTCTTGAGATGTGGCTGTTTCTGACGAGAACTCATTAGCAGTAATTGCGCCTTCCAGTGTTTGTATTGCTTTTCGATGATGACCGTCTTTCCAGAGGAGCCGTGCGTGCTCAATAGTGGCAGATCGATCGTTAAGACGAGCTGCATGTAGCATCGACTGGTAGGCTTGATTGGTGAAGTTGCCTTTGCGCGACAGACGTGCACTAGTTAGCCAAGCAGCGGCTATGTCGGAATCGGTAAATTCGTTCCTTAAGGCCCTATCAGCATTCGACTAGAGAAGTTCATAAAGAGGGCAAAAGCGACATACGTTAGCTCCATCGTAGCCCTTCTGAGGCCTAAGAGATATTGCTTATCAGAGATGTAGCCCCCAAGGATGTCCAAACGTCGATCCAGTATATCAGGTAGCTTTGTGCGCGAGTCATTGCTCTCACTATCCTCAAATTTAGCGCGAGCTATAGACTCTACCTCGTGTAGAGTATGTAGCTTGAGAATGCTATCATGGCATGACTGCAACGAAACCACGGAGTTGGCTGTTAGGGACTTGGCCACACTGAGTCGTAAGGCCTCTATATGTTCCCAAAATTCCGTATACTTGCCTTGCCGGAAAGCATTGAGGGCCAATCCAATTTCAATATTGAATTCCCCCCTACCCAACCGCGAGAGCTGCTGAAGATACTCATTTAGCTTTCCCCAATTACTTGTGATCCAGGTCGCTTCTACTGCAAAAGGTAGAAACTTTCTAGATGAATTATTTGCTTTCAAGATCTCGAACCGCGTGAGAATGGCATCTAAGAATGTGTCAGTAGACCGGCTGGACGGGGATTGATTAGGGGAATACCTTGTTGTCCAGATTCCTTGAGACATGCGAGTAGACCCCACTGTGCTTCGCTATCATTTGGTTCTTTCTCAAGTTGCAATTCATACCAGCTTTGTGCGGTAGCCCACCTTCCTGCCTTTCGATGCTCAAGTACCTGCTGATCGATGTTTAACACGTGTAGATGGCTTGAAATTCCTTCGATACCGTCTGGTTCGTCGATTCGGCTGTAGATATCTTGTAATCGCTGGTAGAGAGGTTCGACGGCGGCGCCTCCTTGCTTAGAATGCTGGTTTTTCCACTGTCGGATGTATTGCTCCCAATGGAACAGAGCCCGTGAGAATGATTTGCACTCAACAGCCCTCTTGGAGATGACCTCTGGAGGTATTGAACTCAGAAGTATCTCTACAGCTTTGGCTTGCGAATGGTAGGTGTCTAACAAAGCATCGCGAGATGTTCCCTTGTGGTTACGATTTGAAGGATGGCTGGGGTTCCTGAGACTATTTATCTGTTTCTTTTTGCCCTGTAGCCACCTTGAAAGGTAGTCGAGGACCTCGAAAATGCTCTGTTTCGAATAGTGTGAGACAGCAATCAAATAAATCTGCACAAATAAATGGAAATACGCTACTCACCTGACTGCACAATATGATGTTCTCATATACATAGTCGTGTGTGTCGGGTAATGGGTGTGACAGGACATTCACTAGCTCACAGCGTAGATCTTCTTTCTCTTGTGGGCTCCCAGAAACCGTACGGTTAAGGACCGCGAATGGCAGCAAAAAAGATGCTATTGAGATGTCTTGGCCCTTCACAATGCGGCTGCAAACACTGAATACTAATTTCGCATTGTCACCGTTCCCGGCTTGCAATAGATCTTGCACAAAGGTCCGTAGCCAGTTGCCATGTGTCAATCCAGCTGTGAACAAGGGATAGCTGCAGTTAGTGTTTAGGGTCCCAATGGTAACTGTATACTTTGAGGTAAGGAAAGGAGCTAGAATGTTGCGAACAGTTTCAGGTAGCTCTAGCCAGCGTTGATATTTCTCATCGGCTCGGAAGTCACGCGATCGATTGGCCACGGCTGAATCAAGACCGCAGAACCTAAGTAGGTTCTGCATCGCATATGCAAGAAATCCTTGAGCTCTAGTATTTGAAGCTGATAGGAACGTCTCGACTAACACGTTCTGGAGGAAGAAAAGTATGAAGTCAAAGGTCTCTTCCATGCTGTCGAAGTTAGACAAAACCAGAATCCCTTTCTTTTCTTTCACCGTGTCCACTCGGTTAGGGTCAAGACAGCCGATCAAGCCTAGACATTCAGCCGATAACTTGGTTATAACATCGGAGCTAGTGTTAAATTTCACACAACAATCGAGCAATGACCGTGTTAGCTGTGCAACAACTGGATCTGGAATCTCACTGAGAACAGATCTATGAATGAACTCTTCATTCTGGGAGAGATAAGGAACTAGCTCATGCAAGGATTGCTCAACAACCGTTGCAGTATCACTTTGACAACGACGAATGAATGCAAGGAAATGGCTTCGTACATCCATCTTCTCTTTCATGCTATTAAGCGTGGCTTCATGCTTGTCGAGTATTGGAATTGAAGCTAGCGAGGGCATGGTATTGAAGATATCGCGTACCAACTCATGGTGAGACTGCATGATGTATTCAACGAGTTCGTACGCTTGCTTCCTTGTATCCTCAGTGAACATGTCCCAGTATCTGATCACAATTGATAGTGTCTGATCGATGAGGGGCTCAACTTCCTCTTCTTGCAGGGAAATGATCAGGACTCTCCAGACGGTGATTGCATTATTACACAGCTCTTGAATTTCAAGAGCAGCTCGTAAACATGCGCATATCTATGTCACTTTAGCTTACTACTGAAAATCACATCATATGAGCTGACTTATGTACGAACCTGAGGTAAGGCGCTACTGATATGGCCACGAGCAACCTTTATCATCTCTCCAATCGCTGCAATGTTCCTTTTTTTCTCAATCAGAGGTTGTCTGATTTGGAAGTCATTTACAGCATGAGCGAACTGTGTAATGATTCCAAGGACATGCTCCTCAATGAAGTATCCTATAAGGTTCGCTCGTCTTGGTGTGTGACCTGACTTTCGTGGAACAAGGACGGCTAAAAGATGAAGTGCGCGGAGAAACTACAATTCCTTCATGTCAACGTCGATCGCGCTGTGGAATTGGCAATGACTTACCCTCTTGCCTTTGTCCTCCCCCAAGTCGCCAAGGCCTTTGAGTAGGTCACAGGCAATCAGTATCGGCTCAATCCTCAAAAGCTCAGCCAGAGTACGGCCCCTAAAGGCAGCATCAACTTCCGACAAAGCGGACATGACGGATTCTTCTGGATTCGGCGATGGTTGGCTCAGCAAAAAAGCGAGTATCGATGCAAGATTGTTCTTCTCTGAGCAAATATCGAATGGTGTCTTCGCGTCCTTGTACGTTGCCCCAACTCTGATGATCACATCGCGCTTCCGGGTAAGTACCAGATATGGAAGGACATAGGTCTCTGTCAATCTGAGGAAGTCATCCACTTTCATACCCAGGAGGTCGCAGAGCTGTTCTGCCATGTAGGGGCGAGACTGAAAATTTCTCACAACGGTCACTGACAAGGTCCTCCAAAAAGGCCTGAACAAGGCGGCCGGAGTGACAGAAAGATGTTGTGCGAGCCCTGAGAGCTAAGTTCTATTAGATGTTGGCCTAATGTAGTCACATGCGGAAGGCAGTATATGATCACAATATCAGGGTCCATACGTACTTCGGTATAAGCCACCGCCCCTATAAACGGGTTCGGATGTCCAAGGTACTCTACCAGACGAAGAAGTATGATATTCATCTCTTCGTCGTTAGAAAACCTGTAGATATACGATATGTTAGCGAATGCTCACAACCACTTGGCAGGATCAAACTCACTGCGCCAGATGACATAAAGTAAGAATACATGTCTCATGTAATGGCGTCTCCTGTTTCTCAGAGAGGCTCTGCAACCAGTCCAGAATGACAATGAAATTACCTCGTCGGGTTTCGTGGTCGAGATCTCTACGAACGAACGAGGTTATCGAATGTCTGAAGAGTGGTCAGCACTTCAAAGTTTTCGCAAGATCTTTCAATAGAAGATACCCTGTAGTAAGACGTAGCTCTCTGACAGAGCTCCTGAGAGAATTGAGGCAAAATTCGCCAAAAGCAGAAGATGCAAGCTGCATATGAGCTGGGTCGAAAGTATGCATCAACGTCCTTCTTAACGCAACTGTCGCAGCTATTCTCAGGTTTGCAGTCCGTGAAAGGTTGGAAATGATGTGATTCAAGATCTGACATAGTTCATCGCTCTTGAGAATGCTGGAATTGCTTTCTGGTTCGATATCATGACATTTGGAGTCACAGATCCTACAGTTGAAACTGTCCTTTGAATCGACATTCAACATATCTACCAGGTTTTCAGACAATGCACAGGGGATATTGCACAGAACACATAAGAATCTTAGTTTGTCCTGCTCCGATAGTCCAATGTATGATGTACTTTCCGTTGTCAGTCAACAATTGTATTCATGGGGACAATACATGTCGACTTACAGAACCGCACAGCTCAGATCCCCCAGGGTGCCACTCCGATCACAGCCGAGTAGTTCAAGTGACTTGGCTATAAGCCTCTGTGCCCCATTTTGGCCTTCTCTGTAGGCATCCAATCGCGGGAGACAGCGACGTTTGGCCATCCGGACAGCCCCAACACCACTAATGGAAGAGTGGTCAGAACCCGGAAATTCGTGAATAGCTACCAATTCCGTTGAATGCCCCCCGCAGAAAGCTGCCTCTGCACCTTTCGCGTTGGAATTGTAAGTCATGGGACAATGTACGAGGGAGCATTCGATCGCAGCCTAGCTTTGAGTTAACCAGACGGTAGCTATGGTGAGGGCCATATGGGATGATATACCTGAAGACAAGTATCGAATGAACTGAACAATGCGAGGTTATTCTTGATAGGTAGCACAGTAGCCCCCATTGATTGCATTATATCCTTTTCGGATGTGAAAGCCTTAATGAAGCTGTCAATGGCATGGCTTAGGCTTAATTGGAGAACAGAAGCCTGATTTAGCATTTCTAGAGCAAAGGTTTCTGCGAATGTCTGGAGGAAAATGTATGCTAGCCTCTGTTTCGCTGATGTATGTGGAACATGGTCACAAAATCTTTTTATGAACCTCAGGAACTGTGAAAAGGTCGGCACTTGGTTTGTGACGTCCTCAGTATCTGATTTGGAGTGCCAAAGCACAGCGAGCTTCCACAAGCGCCGATAAATATTAGAGAGCCATGCCAAATCCTGTCGTTTAGAGGGGATATTATAAGAAACGTGAGCATTGATTGTAGATGTGAGCATATCAAGGCATAGACGGACTGTTTGAGCGCAGCTCTCAAGTCTGATCAATTTCTTCAGAGATCCACAGCGCAGGCCAAGTCTGTCAAGATCCAAAGTACAGGGCTGCTTCGGGTATACTACAGGGGAGCCGGCCACATGGGTAAGCCGAGCTCGAGACTGATAGGCGTCAAGAGCATCAAGGAGTTCTGGAGGGATCAGTATAGGACTCTGATCTACCCGAGGAATCTCACAAACCAGTAGTGCAGGCCCAAACAAAGGCAGTAATACCAACAAACGAAGACCATAGCTTCGTATGATTGTGTGAAGCGTTGAACATACTTGCGAGGATGCCACCGATTCTATCTTCGACAGGCTCACTGTCCCAGGTACAGAATAGATGGACTAGCCAGACGACTAGACACGAGTACAAGGGACTTGCTGCATCCTTTCCCAGAACTTCTGGCTCTGGCATCTCCAAAAGCGCTAATGGGGCTTTGTCAACAGCATTTTGGACGATGTCCAAGCAGTCCAGGAGTTGACCTTGCAATTCCGACCTATCATCTCTGATACAGGGCTCTAGACCTGCTTTCAGCACGATGCAAATCAGTTTCTTAACATCAGTGATACTATCATTAAGCTGAAGATGACTATATTTCCCCTCAAGCAACTCATGCCGGAGCTGCGAAAATGCCTCTTTAGTTAGACCAAGCGTCCCATCACCCTGTGATGAAAGGTGTGGTGCAAGGTTGGCTGCGAGCGTAGAGGAAACTGGCTCTGCAGGATTCCAATCTGCAACCCCAGGAATAGGTAAACGAGACTCCTTGCGCTTATTAGTTGCCATTGGCGATGCCTTTATACATGGTCCTGATTTCTCCCAGGCCTCGTTGAGCGCGAAGAGTGGTAATCAGACCGGCTTAAGATCTACGGATAGTAATACTCATGTATGTTTCAGTGACGCGGTAGTACGGTGTAAGTAACATGTATGGTTTCCCCACAGTCCATCCATCCAGTGAGGTGTTGAGATTCTTTAATGCACGAGTTAATGTGGGTATAAAGCATGAAACCCGCTTATCAATTGCTATCAAAGTGAATACCATCAAATATCGACTTGTTATGTGCACGGTTGCAGAATAGTAATCGTATACGGAGTACTTGGAAGCGGTGGTATCATTACTACTACTATAAGCGGACTTCCGGGCGGTGGGTAATCAAATGGGTTTTCAAGGCAAAATCATGGTATCTACGGGCTCACAGAGCTCTACAAGGAAAGTTTCTCTTCCGCTTCCTGTGTAGAAACAGGTGGGGTACAAAAGGAAAGATAAGGTCTAGAAACTTAGTAAAACTTGTGCTCAAATTCAGTGACTTTGTACATGCAGAGTGACCCCCTCGGGTGACTCTTATGCTTGTTATCAAGCCTATTCCTGGTGTCATCAGTGCGACTACTACTACTCAGCTAACCCACCTCCCAGCAACAATCTCACAAAGCCCTCCTCAGTCTAGCGGATGAAATATGGAGATGTCTGGTGACATGCCGCCTGAGTTGCTGGAGAACAACGCCGAACATGCTTATTTCATGAAGCAGGCGTTAATGATGGTAATTGTATCTTGCCCTAGTGACACTGGAGATTGGTATTCTTATACTCGTTCTAGGGAGAAAAAGCCCTTGCAACCGGTGAAACCCCGGTTGGCTGTGTTCTGGTGTATGACAACAAGATTGTTGGTTCTGGAATGAATGATACAAACAAATCTATGAATGTAGGTGAGCCAGCTGCCTGAACCATCAATCCCAATGGAGACCTCGGAAGTTTCAATGAATCTTCCAATTTCTCTTGTCCCTTGGGAGAGTCCCCCTCAAAGCAAAATTAGAAAGCGTTTGTGAAATCTAAAACCATAGCCGGTCTTATCAGGGTACAAGACATGCCGAGTTCATTGCCATCGGAGAAATGCTCCAAACTTATCCAAGGTCAGCACTGCGTTCAACAGACCTCTATGTAACTGTTGAACCGTGTGTCATGTGTGCATCTGCTTTGAGACAATATCAGATACGAAAAGTATATTTCGGCTGTGGAAATGACAGGTTCGGGGGAACCGGTAGCATTCTATCACTACATGCCGAGTCCGTTCTTGCCTTCCCGCGGACCTACACACCTAGAACCTAGAACTAATTCATGCTAGTCGCTCGATAGATCCACCATACCCGGTGCAAGGCGGGTTGTTCCATAAGGAAGCTATCATGTTGCTTCGGCGCTTCTACATACAAGAAAATGAGAAGGGTAGGTGGCTAGCTTCTGACAACTGTGACAAGGAAGCCTTCTAACAGACTCTTTCGAGCAGCGCCCAAGCCCCGCCCTAAAAAGCATCGTGAATTAAAAACGGATTTCGACCAGGAAGTCCTCATTGCCTCCCCTACACCCTGAGCGGGAACGGGTTGTACTTAGTCGAACGGCCGCACAATGAAGGAAGCTGAGGGCTAAGCATCTTCGATGTCGTGTAGAAGCGATCAAGGTGAAGTGAGGAAAAGGTTCCATTTAGGTTTTGCGTTGTTTCAGGAACTAAATATACAATATAGCGCAAGAGCCAATGAAACGTTAACGAGCCGATCCTTATACCGTCTTTCATGTCACAAGTTTAGGAGCTAGCTTGCTTCAACCGCTCGGCTTCCAGCTCCCGCTCGGCCTGCTGATAGTACTTGGCCGTGTCGACGCCATGCTTGTATTGCAGTTAGTAACAAAATTTATACCCGACGCTGATGGTTGTGTATGAAAGGTGATGGCTCTTCCATTGTACGTACCTGGTCATGGTTGACAAGGTTGAACCATGGAAGAACATGGATGAACAGCTCAGAGTATCTAGAGTTTCGAGCAGCAACGCCTTGCAGGTATGAAGAGACTTTAGATGTGCCATATAGGGATTCCCCTTTCTTGACTTTGTCCACCATCTCCTTCATATCCATATCAGCTTCCCTCGAATTCTCCGTGAAGCCATAGAAGCGGTCTGCACAAGAACGTTAGTACTACGAGGGCGTAGATCAAAACACCTGCTCCATGGTTGCACTGACTGCAGGATCTCTGATAGACCACGTGGAGACCTCCAATAAGGCCAATGGCTGTTGCTAGGCGCATCACAGGAGCGAACCCTCCCCTGCCGACGTGAGAAGGGCTCACTCTTTCCATAACCCAGAACGCAAGAGGAGACGCAGCGGCCATTCCGCCGCCCACTGCGTAGTCAGAGGGTCGTGCATATCCGAAAACTCGTCTCAAGTGCCTGGTTTAAAAAGTGAGTCAATTGCAATATGGCAACGTCAAGCTGGTCCATACGGGTCGGAGTCAATTAGCTACAAAAGCCAAAGTTAGCCGCAAGATCCGTAATTACATTTCAGATAGAGAACAATCAACCCTACCGGGTAGTCTGTATTGGCCCGCTTTGGGGGAACAAGAATTGATTTGTGATCAGTCGCCATTGTGACCGGGCTGGGACAGTGGAGGATGAATTATAATGGACGTTTCTGGATTGGCTTCCGCTTCAATGGAGATGGAAGTCGGACGGAGTTATGCCAAGCCCAAAGCCATACCGATTGAAGACTAGCAGGTATTCATAATTACAAAGCCTAAGTAATGCATAGTTGCAGTTATGCTGAAAAGGTTTTGTAACCCGTTGTCACGCTAACCCGACCGCCTACCCTACTTTGGTGATATGATACTAGTAGTACTGATCTTACCTTTCCTGGCGAATTGGCTGAGAACCTGGCACGCGTCTTGAGCGACGCGTAACGCTATCCGTTTACAGCTGTTCGAGATGGTCATTTGCGGACTTTCATCGAAGTATGCGTACTACTTGTTCAGTCAACAATAACCAGAATTTATGAGAAGATTGTCATTTTCACTATTTTACAAGTCATCAGGAGGTTCGTTCCATGATGGAGAAAGATGTGAGCTACTCAAACCCATCAATGGGCCATGATGATGCATTGTTCGATTATGATGCCGGCTTAGAGAGCACATTGCAAGATATAGCTGTGGATTCAAACAGAGGTGGACCCATTGCTGCACCTGTATTAGGCTTGGATGAAAAGGTCACAGTCAATAAGCAGCGACGATCTACTGTCAAGCTGGATGAGGGCCGGTGAGACTGACAACAGGGGGAGCGCTCTGAATACAATGCTTATTGCTCATTAGATTACTGTCACAAGCCGGCATACCAAAACTGCGTTCTACGGCGAAGTTTAAACTGAAATTTAAAGGGAAAGGGCATGAGGTCTGCTGAAACCGATTCGTACTGTCGCTGAGGGACGACTGCGTAGCTGACTGTCTCTCAAAGTTTTCGGACGCCGCTCGACTATTAAATTTCTACCAACTATGGCTCGATGATTTGTTCCCTCGCGCGAAGTTCGCCGATGGATTGGCTATTATAGAAAAACTGGGTCATTCGAAACGATTACAGACGATGCGACGAGAATGGATAGACGAGGAAAAGCCGAGACTCCCCGCAACCGACTCTGAAGATGCGCAACAAACGGGGTCCCCGGGTCCACATGTCCATGACAATAGTATGTCTATCGGGCATCTAAATGAAGCCGACGCGATTGTGGGCCAAGGAGATAGCGTGGCACAGGGGCTTCCAGCACATGGCATTGGAGAGCCATCCTCACTTACGCTGGGAGACGCTCCTCAGCAGGGAGATTTGTTTGTGTCGGATGATGAGAGCGTCCCAAGGGAGATCATAGAAGGTACTCATGATAACGATGATGATGATGATGATGATGATGATGATGAGCTGGAAGCACTTCTACGAGAGCACGAGGATGGTATTATTGATAATAATAATCTGGCAGGACCAGATGCATGGGCTTGAGGCAATAAGCCTATGGGTAACCTGGGTTCCATAGACAACATTGATGTTTCGAGCAATACTACCACTTAGGCACCAAGACATGTTTCGTACAGTGAACTAATTAATTCTATTTCAACATGGCGCAGACACGGTCTAGCCGGCCCCCCCTTTTTTTTTTTTTTTTTTTTTCGAAAAAAAAACCCTTGCTCTTTCCCTCTACCTTGAGAGTCACCGTGAAATATAAGGTACAAACATTATCGAAAGTGCTGTGCTTCAGCAGATACCACCATAATGTGCTTTCTTCTCTTTCTCTTCTCCTTTCCTTCCCCTTTCGTGTCTGCAATGGTTTATCAACTGGTCTAAGCATAATCTACAAGATTGGTAAGGCTCATGAAACATGCCATTGCGCGGGACTCATTGATGAAGTGCCAGTGTATCTCCAATTTTTCCCTGGCACTAGCTGTTCGTTCATGCTAATGCTGCCGGCTCAGTGAACACGGAGAATTGTCCACCACCGCCGGCCCAGTTTAACTTTTTCCCACGAACGGCAGTATTCTCGATGACAGTCGCTATTTCAATGTCATCCGGTGTACCCTGACCTGTTTGATAGGTGGCAGAGAATCCCCACGACCAAGGACGACCATCAACATCAATGACGAGTGAATGGTCTGAACCGGCTGCAACAGTATTTGCCTTGACTCCAGGAACAGCTTTAGGCTCTATCAAGATACGAGGCCGTCCCCGCTCGTCCTTAATGACCGCATCCTCAGGTAGACTGTCGATTTTCAGACCTGTTTGGTAGCCATCCAATCGTCCCCATACAAGGCACTCTCCATTATCAGCGATGGCAAGCGAATGATGGGCGCCGCCGCAGATCTGTGTAACTGCTTTCCCAGATAGCGACTCTACTGCGGTGGGATGCACAATTGCAGCTTCATCGTCACCGGCACCAGCCCTGATACCCGTTTCGCCGAAACTGTTCAAACCCCATGCGTAGACCTCTCCGGACTGATGAACAGCGAAGGAGTGAAAAGCCCCACAGCCGATATGCACAATATTCTTCGGCAGGCCAAACTCGCGCGGCTGCAGGCCGTTCAATCTGTTTCGCTCAATGATACGACGGCCTAGTTGGTTTTGCTGGCCCGAACCCCATGAAAATACAGCACCTTTTTCGTTCAGTGCCAGGACATGATTATCGCCACAAACCAGGTGTTTGATTTTCTTTAAAGACGGTATCAGACTAGGCGTAAGCTGGACTTTATTGGTGGCATCAAAACCTAAGATACCATCATTGCTCTAATTCGCCTCTTAGCCTGAGCAGTTCTTTATACGAGGGTATGCAAAGCTTGACTTACTCTGAATGTTCCCCAACCATAGACTTGACCATCATCCGTAAGGGCAAAACTTGAGCTGTCGCCAGCAGCAACTTCAACGAAGACGGTGTCTTTTGGGAAAGCCTCTGACGGAAGAGCAGTGGGGGTTGATTCGTGGGGATTTAAAGCAATGTCATCATCGGAGTCCGAGTCTGACTCATTGTCGGCTTTGTCGATATCTTTGTACCCACCGTCCCAAGTAGTATCTCTGCCAAGTGCTCCTTGGTCGTTGACGCCCCATGTAAGGATCTTGTTGTCATACGTAAGTGCAACGCAATGCATCCCACCAACAGCGACCTGCACGACACCGACACGGTCCGCTGACAAGTTGGCATTCAACCGAGGCCGCTTCACGTCAACTGCATTCTTAGCAGATCCCAGGCCCAACTCGCCAGAGCTGCCTTCGCCGCACACATAGACATTTAGTCGAGTGGTTGGCGCATGGTTGATGACCACCTTCGGCTTCGGTTTAGTAACCCGGGGTTTAGCAACGCGGGCCTTTTTCACATCGCGAGCTGGAGCTTCATCGACAACTTCCGCCTTCCGCTTCGCACGTTTCGCAGGCTCAACTTCACGCTTCTTGCTTGCAAGGTTGTCATCCGTTCCACCACCCTTCTTGGGAGCCGTGGCAGATTTCGCGGTTTGTCTTTTGGTGGTCTTCTTGGGCCTCGCAGGGGCCTCTCGCTTGTCAGTTGGAGCTTTGCGAGCAGTACTGGTCGTGGCGGCTGTCTTCTTCGCTTTCGTCGTTGTTTTGGTGGATGCCTTCGTAGCTGCCTTCGTCGTAGTAGTTGTGGTTGCTGTGGTCTGTTTAACCTTTGCCGCCGCAGCTGATGCCGCAGCCGGCTTGGGTGCGCTTTTCTTGGGCGGCATAGTCGCTGTCAGATTAACAACTATGTCTTGGCTGATTGGCCGTTGCAGTGATACACCGGAAGCGTATCAGGGGCTTAGGGAGTTGGAAAAAGTAAAAGGCTCACCAGTGACCCAGGTAATGAGCTGTTGAAAACGAAAGAAGATGGAGGGAGGTGGGGAAGAGAAAAGCCACCGAAGAGGCGCTGGACGATTTGAAAAGAAAAAGGTACAAGAAAGGGTGGGGAATGCGCCCGCGCGATTAGAGCTCTGGTGTTATTGTTGTTATTGTTGTTGTGTTTTTGCGATCTGATTTCAGAGCAACACTAAAGAACAATGGCACCCGACAAACAAAGAACACCGTTCTTTCAACACACCAACTCAGAAAAAAGATGCCTAGCAGTATTTATATATTTGGCTAGAAGAGTTTTCTTGGTCATTCACATCCCAGGGACGGTTCTTTGTTTTTCTTTCTTTGTTCTCCCCCCTTCTCCCCTAACCTTTATTGAATATACTATCTTATCTCGGTGCCCTTGAGTACAAAATAAGCTATAGTACCGGCCTGGGAACTATGCCTGCATGAAGTTGGTTAATTCCGAGGACTCAACTTCTTCCATTGCTCAGGCATTCTTGACTACTAGTAGTAGGGACTGCTATCTCTTGCCAAGCTGCCATATGTAGCAGTAGACGGTCCTCCCAAATGTTCCTGTAAAACATCCATCGTGACTTCGCTGACAGCCACCTTTGGTTTTGGGGGATACTTTTTTGTTCTCAGCAACAATGGTGTGTTTTACGACTCGGCATTTGTAGTAGTAGTGGGGGACTCAGTAGGGGGCGCAACCCGAATTCTTCCACACATAATAACATTCTGACCCAAGGGCATCCATTTCACGTCCCTAGGATTTAGAGCAGCGTTTGGCTTGCCTTCTTGATCCCGCTTGGAATCTGGGCTCACACTTACTCCACCGGAGCCAAGATAGGTTGGAGCGACAGTAACAATGATAGTATCAATAAATTCGGTGTATTCGGGGTTCAAAAGCTCACTCAAAACGGTCCCGCCGCCTTCGATCATGACGCTTTTGATCCCCTCAGATGCCAACGCACGTAGTATGGCTTCCCAGCGCAGCCGCCAGTTCTGATTATACTCCATGATACGGAGATAATCGCCCCCGTAGCCCTTAAGCATCATCAACTTTTGTGGGTCAATCCTGGCTCCTGGGGATACCACTACCCACGGCGCCTTGCCTTTCCCTTCTACTGCAGTCCTCAGCATTCGGCAGTCTGGATGTACAGGCCATCGTCCTGTGGGATCGACTATCACTGGCCGCGGTTGCCACATCCTTCCAAGGCCACCGAACCCACCTGCGCCTTCCAGCCTACAGTTGAGCCCGGGGTTGTCTGCAAGCACTGTTCCAACTCCGATGAGGATTGCGTCATGACGTGACCTGAGATAGTGGGTCATCAATTTAGCCTCTGGCCCAGACAGCACAGTTTGCATGCCTGGCAGGAGTGATATCTTAGAGTCCATCGACGATGCATAGGACAGGGTGACATGAGGGAACTGGCGGCGATCATTGTGCTTTGGGAGATAAGGCTCAAGAAAATCTAGAGGGAACCGAGGGAAGGAGAGCGTATCCGGGGGCAAAGATGCGTGTATGGCTGTATTCGAGAGTAACTTGTCGCCCGGAGTATTGCTGATACCATCAGCCGCTCGCATCCTTACAATGCCGTGACCCTTATGATATTCATAGCCTTCATGCGCCACAAGTTTAACGTCGGGGTTCTGTATCCTCCACTTCGCCGAGACATTGCGCACGTCGGTCACTGTACAGAATTTGCCCCCAGCTTCAACAAGCTTTTCAGGTTCTTCTTGGAACTTCGTGAAAATTGAGGAAGGTAGATACCCCTTGATTGCTTCCCTCCGCGCAAACTCCATTAATCCAGAATTTCGCTTCACTCGGTCAATATAATCAAGGTCATGTGAATGTACCCGACTGCTCCCTGGAGTTCTCGCTATTGTCACCGTAGAATATGCTCCTTCGAACTTGACGACTTTGATCTGGAAGTTGCAGATACCACCCTCCCGCACTCTCTTCTTTCGGGGGCGTTTGCCCTCAGGAAGAGGACGAGTTTCTGACGTACGATGAGTGGGGCGTCGCAAACGACACATATAATAGTCCGTGGTGCAATGCCCTTCTTTGCTGGAATTAGACCTCTGTTTGACCCATACATTGTCGATAAACGGCCAATAAGTCTCAAATTCCTCCAAGCTAATCTCTATGGGATCCTTGCACTCGAACATCACTTGGCGTATCCTTGCAAGATTGGGGGGATTATTGATGAGATTGTGGTTTGTGGCCGAGCTTGAGTCCCTTGACCGGGACTCACAGCTGGGATCGTCGACATCTGCTTCTCTAGGGATATCGTCGCTCGCGGAGTTGTGGTCGCTTCCTATCTGCGCGGGTCCTTGTATATCCAATCCCTCTGGTCTTGCAGACTCCGTCGCATTCCCAGAGATGTGGTCGGTTTCGAGAACCGCATCGTAGGGTATGAGGTCGGCGGGCGTTGTATTATTATCGTGGTTGCGGTTATCATTCTCGTAGAAAGCCACCATGCGTCCGTTCAATGGAGCTTCTTCCAGTCCATCTTTTGCACGGTTCGGAGCATCATCGCACGATGAGCCCGACCCAGAGTCGGGCGATAATGATTTTGTACTCGTATCAGACGCGTCTGATCGGTCATGTTCCATGTCGAACATCGGAGTTTTCTGGGGCTAGACCAAGGGCAGCTTGAGAGACACGTACGGTGTGGTCCAATATCGGGTCGAAAAGGCCCCGCAGCTAGCCTGCTCATATCATGGCTCAGAAACGATGCACTTGTCGGACTGCTATGTGGAAATACGTGACGCCTGTTGTCTATTAGTGCGAGCCACTCACTTCTAGGCGCTCTTCCTTGACTAAAAGTGTTCAGGGTCAGATTAGGCCTTGTGCTGTCAATTCCCTCCGTCATCCAGCCGACGTTCTTGGCACCCTCTCTTGCGGAAAGCGCCCGCGTTTGCCGGAAACCAAGCGCCATTTATATAGTTATTCATTGGTACGCGTCGTAAATATGCAGCTCTACAAACTATAGTTTAGGTATCGAATGAATGCTACAGAGTAACGATTACGTTGTGTTATTGTAGCATCTACCTCAGTCGCCGACAAATAATTGCATGTGGAATCTAACTTGAGTACAAGCCAATACAGAAGTCAAGAACGCGCTAAAGCCCAATGCAACCTCCTATTGGGCTGGCTTCTCAATAAGCGCCGATCTCTGCTCCAGCTCGCGCCAGCGTCTCATATACTTTCGGCGGCAGCTTGTATTTGACCATCCCCGAGAAAATCATTAAATCCTTGGCCATGACGAGCAACTCATCCGCCAGTCCCTGCCTAATCTCGTTCTCATATGTACCAGAGTTCAGCCGTTCCCTTTCGTGACCAATACATGTGATACACCACATGATCACATGGCCGACATTATGGGAAATTATTGGGGGGAAGGACGAGAAGGCTTGGGCAGCGCTCCTAATGTAGGGAACGGAGCCTCGGGCCCGCAATGGAAGAATGCTCAGATCATTAATAGCCTAGACGGAAACCGTTAGTTTGGTCGCTGCCTGTCAACCCGAGTTGAAAGATCAACTTACATCCAAAGCCGGCGTCCATTTTGCTGCCTCAACCTCCACCTTAGCTTCCATCATCCTAAGCAACAATCCACATGCATCGCGATTGACTTGCCGGATTCGTTGGTAATACATCGCATTTGCGTTATACAACCCAATCATATTCCTTGCCAGAATAACCGGATTATCCACGGTTGTTAAGCTGAGACTGCCGCCGGCCTCCAGTTCATGTTCATCGGTCCGAGGCCTCAATGGCTGCAATTTCAGGGCGGGTCCACCCAATTCTACAGCAACGGCGTCAGATAGCGCTCGATTGATGATATCAATGACGCGGTCGTAGTCCTCGGCAAGATGATACAACAGGACCGCGTCCGTTATAAGGCCCTTGTCATCAGCGATAGCTGCTGCTTGCAGAGTGATCGTCTTGAGGAACTCATCTTGATCGACCAGTTTGATCAAGCTAATACGTTGTTCAATCAGTCCCTTGATTCTGCTTCCATCTGACCTGATGTCGCCCAACAATTTAGCAAAGTCCCTGGTCTCGAGGATGAATTCTCGTAATGCTTCGTGGCATACAGAAGCTTGGGATTTACCCAGAGCTCCGGGCAGGTCGGCGTTAAGGCATAACAGCGTAAAGTAATCAATGGCCGCTTCCACATATCCCGTCCGGAATTCTCTCGTGTATTGCGTGATCAGGTAGCCGAAATTAATCTGTGGGTATTGCTTCACAGTAAAGGACACTGTAGCTGTTAGTATTGCCTATGGCATTCATCACGGCATATCGGGTTTCCACTCACATATCTCTTCACCTGACGTGTAAAAGTCTGAGACGCGCAACACACCATAATATGCCAAGGCAATGGCAAAGTGCACAGCTGTGATTGGAGCATAAGAACCAAGGTATGAAACAGCTTGCTCAAACATTCCTCCCAAGATTTGCAGGAAGAAAAAGGTTCCATAGCCTCCGGGCCCCTCTTGGCCTTTTCCAAATACTCGCTGACCAATCTCCGTGATATCAGTTTGAATGTCTTCGAGTCCAAAGACGTCGTCGGCAATCTCCTCCGCTCTATCATCTTCCCTAGCCATACTGAACTGTAACCACATCCAGTCTTCAACACTTTGATTTATACCGTCTAAGCGCCTGCGGCCAAGTTCACAGCGTCCGATGATTTTGTAGCAAGCCATACGGTACGGATCAACTGTGTTATCAGGCGCATTGCGAGATCGTTGTTGATATTCGCCGTTGATCTTTTGTTGCAGATCTCTAGGCAGCCGTCGATTCTGCGCATATGTAGTCATATATGTCACAAATTTGTGATCTAGAGACCTAAAACCGGGATCCTGGCTCACGTATTCTGCAGCTTCGGTAACGAAACCACAGCGAAGGAGGTAGAAAATGAGAATCCAGCAATAATCCTGGCCAACCATCTGCAACTCCGTACCATCAGGAGCAAGGTCTTTCCGTGCCGCTCTGAGCCGAATATAGGCACGAATCTTATTGGTCACAGTTGGTATGCCACCGAGTTGGGCCTCCCGAGGGTTTTTGGTAATCACACTTTCAACCTCGTCGTAAAAGAGCTTTTCCAGGAAAGACCTAGAGCCCTCAACAATCCGTTTTCTCAGACTTACTGCTCTGCGCGAATTTGGGCTCTCATCTAAGTATTCTTGGGCAAACTGACGTTCCACGAGAGCCGAGGGATCATTCATGGTGGTAGCATCTGGAGACTCCCCAACAATGCTTATCAAAGCTCTATAAGCATCGTACAATTGTCGAGGTACCTGGTAGAGTCAGTCAACCGCGTACGGGGCTTTGTTTAAGAAACTTACATCGCCGCCAGCATGCCCTTCAACATCGGAGAACTCATGAAGGATCGGAAATGCTCTAGTATGTAGCCTAGCAGAATTGAGTTGCCGAACCTTGTCTGCATAGTAGCCCATTTTCTCTCGTAAGAAGCGAAGATCAGAGTGACCCCCCGCACCCTCATTGCGCTCCGTAGAATCTTCGAAGAGTCGGAGGCTTGCCGTCCCTGTTCCTGGGGTCCCAATGACGGACTTTTCTAAAGCGGAGCGTCCGAATACACTTCGCCGACCTGAAGGCGTAGGGCCGTTTGTGGATGCAGGGCCGAACTGTTTAGGTCGCCGCATCGTGCGTCCAAAGCTACCTCTTATATCGCCAGCGCCATCGTCTTTTTGCGCTAGCCCGAAGTGCTGGAATATCTTCCGGCGCTGTTCCTCCCAGTCCATGTCAACCTTCTCTTCCAAGAATGAGTCAAAATCTTTCTGGGTCCGAGCAAGACTCTCATTGATCATCACTTGACGACCACGCTGTTGTATGTTTTTTAAAAATTTTTGGTTGTCTGGGTCGAAAGTGTCTTGTTCTCTCAGTGGTGTCGATACCGATGCCTGAGGGTCCAAAGCCTTCAGGTCCCGCAAGGCGTGGCCAGGAGATACACCTGAAGCCGCGAGCAGATAATGGCTAGTTTAAAAGAATATCAGCCGACAAGATCTGAAGCAGAAGGAGGTTAACTTACGCTTTGCTGTGTGGTACTTGAGGTTGAAATTCCTTTGAGCCACCAGCACCAAGTTCCCTAGCTTTTCTGCGAATGTCGTCAAGACCCAATTGAAGACTTGGCAGCTCCTCGAAATTGCCGTTTTGAGCAATTGCAGAGATTGGTCTCTTTTTTCCGCGTTCTAGTAAACTGTTGAAAAAAGCCGGCTGGGTCGTCTGGCTGGACGGTGGCGCTGCATTGGCTTGTGCCTGATCTTGTGCAAAGACCGAGCTCGAAGTAGGCTGCTGTTGCACTTGCGACGGCTTTGCGAAACTTGTTCCACCTGTAAGGCCCGGCGTTCCAGGTTGATTCCCAAAGAGACTCGATGATTGCGTAGCAGCTCCTAGGCCACCCCCTCCAAAGAGGGAGCCGGTGTTCGTCGAGGCCATTAGAGGAAATGGGGGCTAATGCTGTCTGTGTTTATCCAGCAGTCACGGAACGTCCACTGTAATTGCTGTCCAAATAGATATTGTAAGCATGATTTTGTTTAAAGCAAGTTTGGGAAATTGCAGCTCACAGTCAATAAAGTAAGAAGAGATGAATATGACACCTTTTTTGAGATCGACCCTGATACTGTCTTCGCTCGGTTTGCGATTCGACAAGTCGGTTGATAAACTGTTTTGGCGTGCAGTCCCAGATTCCGTAGGTATGTCGGACTTACTTTTTTGCCGAGCTTTGTCGGGCTTACCGGAGATCAGTGATTGACCGCTTTCCCTCACTTCAATTCGCTATTCACTTTCCAACTCTGGGTAGTCGCTATCAAGTATTGGCGCGTGTTTGGCCCAGCACATTATTTAGCATAACCAATTCCATCCCAGGGGAAGGCTTGACGTGCCGCTACACAATGCCGGTATTTCAGGCCAAGACGTTTCGACGCGCAACAACAGCATCGTCTACTCTCGGAGAACGAATCGGCGCGGCCTACCGGGCTCATCTAACTAAACGCCCATTCCTACTCTTCGGCCTTCCTTTCATTATGATAATAGTTTCCGGGTCTTTTGCTTTAACGCCCGCTGCCGCTCTGAGGTACGAGCGGTACGATCGCAAAGTTAAACAATTGAGTCAAGAGGAAGCGATCAATCTAGGCCTCAAAGGGCCCGATGGCGATGAGGGCATCAAGCGAAATCCACGGCGACGAGTTATTGGTGACGAAAGAGAGGAATACTATGTCAGTATACACGCCTATCGGTCAAGCAAGATCTGCGTAATCTAGTTGGGATGTGGGATAGCAGCTAACCTGGTACCATTGCTACAGCGGCTTATGGCCAAAGATCTTGATGATTGGGAGCAGAAAAGAGTACAACGCTTCAAAGGCGAGCCTGATGGAAAACTCTGAGATGCGCCACGTTTGCTTCCAAATTGACCTTGAGCCGATGTGAATCACTCTTTGGCGATAGCCACTTAATGCGACCTCCTTTTCCCTTTAAACCCCCTTAAAAAGCCCGATGTAGCTCAGTCTTACCTATGGTCGCACATTGGTATGTAATGATAATGATTGGCGCGCGTTTGCAATGTGAAGTTGTTGAACGTCACTGATATTGAACCCTTATTATAGAGTCGACAAGTACCTTCCAAGGGCCAGACTATGGAGGTTCTATATCATGCTGCCTTCTTGGTGCTATCTGCAGTTTCGCCTCGTCGCAGCAGACGCTGATACGACTTCATGTATGTTAGTAAGTATGTTAGTCTTAGTGGTACACCACAAGTACCTACTTGTTTTCTACTAATGCCTCACTTGTCCCGTACCAAACGAAGCATGTCCAGCCAGCAACTATTCATAATTGACAAGAAGCGATTCCTGGAAATTCCATACCTCCCAGGATGTATGTGCGAGAAAGACCCGAGCTGAACCCCTGGCTTATCCTCCTAAATGTTGGGTCAAAATCGTGCACAGCACCAAGGTCACCATAGTTGCGCATGAACTACACCCTACTCTTTCCAATGATACGCAAGCCCACCTACAAAGGTCATGCGTCTCCCAGCTTAGGCAGCCTTAGGCAGCTAGTAGTAACCTTGGGTACATGGCCCCAGCTATGTACTATGTATTTCGTCTATTCTGCGATGGAGAGTAGCAGCTAGAGCCAAGTCAGCTGGCTGCTTTATCAAGGCTTTGTTGCCACCTGTTAGTGTGTAGTCGCGCTATGCCTACGAATTTGACACGACTTATGTCGTGGGAGTTTACGCGGATGTGGGGGAGGAAACTAGATCCCTTCCATCATCAAAGAAATGCGTAGAGTAAGGGGGGGGGAATTGAATTAAACAAGAAGGGAGGCACTTTAGCAGATTAAAGCATCTGTTTGTCACCAATATGGGTGCTCTTCCACATCTCTACACATTTATTCTTGTGTGCTTCATTTCTGAATTAAATCGTTGTAGTACTACTCATGATGAAGTCTCGCCTTCCTGTTGCGCCCTTCGGATGGGCTTTAGGGAGGGGGAATGAGTGCTGGGGTTATGATGGACTCGCCACACCCTTCCCGGTTCCTGGTGGCTCTGAGCGATCCAGACCGGCCGCTGCTGCGTGGGTAACGAGTGGCTCTGCACACTTTGCCGCTTCCCGAGCCTCTGCCACCAACCCATAACGTCATATCCAGAGAACGACTTCGTTCCCTCCGGTTTTCTCACCAGCCCATTCGCTCTTCCACGCAGCCTTCTCGGTTGTTGGCCCCCGACTCCCCTATGTGCTTGAAATGATGGCTGTGGATCAGTGATATCAGTCATATCCCTGTGTCCCCCACTTTCCTCCCCTCAAGTCCTCCATTGGTTTAGAATTCTGCTCTGCTGGAAGTACGAGTTTTGGGCCCCTTCAGTGAGACGTGGGATCCTGCAACTGCGGCTTTGGTCAGGAGAGCACGACCTCCTCATGCCTTTCATCGGTCACTTAGGTTTCTCATCACTGAGTGCTTTTACCCGCGAATCCATTACATTCCTTCAGTAGGACACCACTATTTTGCATCTGAATCTTCTGAGATTTTGCATTTCACCAGGCCGATTACGCAGTGTGGCCACCATCGCCTCCAGCTATCTCTGTATTTGCCCCTCCGCATTTACCCGTTCAGACCCTCTTCTCAGCCCGACCCCTCGAAGACAGGTTGACGACGGGTTCCTTCAGAAGCCTACGTTGTCATTCAGGCTTAGTATCTACGCCTTCGATGAGTAGCCACTGGATTTCTGTTGACATACTGAGACAAGACCAGTGTGTATACTTTATGGAAAAGCAGTGTTTTCTCCCCGCCAGTTGTCGGAGAAATTAAACTCGCTCACGGTTTCTGAGATTGTTCTTCACATTCGGGGATTATATCCATCGCGCTATGGCAATGACTGTTTGAATGTTGACGTGTCATCTAACAAGCTGGCAAGCAGAAGGAAGGCACTGATATTTCCTTGAGAGTTTGAAAGTTATGTCGGCCATGACAGGTACAAGATCACCTACGTCCCCTTGGCCCCCGGAGTGTCAAAACCTGCAGCTCGAGGGTTCCTCTACTCCATCGGCCCTTTACACATTACGTGAATCTCAAATGTCCCCGCTAGGACATGGTATCAACCCTCACAACTCGGTATCAGAACGCTCGGGTCCCAATTACTTCTCTATTAGCGTGGAAAGCCCTGGTAATCCAAGGAGAAGCCGGGATGCGATATCATACACTCAGCCCCCGGTTTCTAGTCCCAAAGCACAGCTCTTATCCAAAAACAAATCTATTGAGGATTATCTGGGCCTGCCGAAGACCGGGGTAGTGGCCGATGACGAACACAGAGAATCACCGGCATTTCGGCTTTCCTGGAATCCCAGCCTACAGAGACGGAGTCCGATACCTTCCCGACAGGATGCATCTCCTTTGAGGCAGACGTCTACTCACGGGCATGGCGTTTCGGTTGAGCGCTGCGCAGAGCTTCTCGGGTCCTCTAATAGGGATATCATGCTGCTGGATGTAAGGCCTTACGCGCATTTCGCGAAGGGGTCTATTAGAGGATCATTGAACCTTTGTATTCCGACAACCCTTCTCAAGCGACCATCCTTCGACACGCAAAAATTAACAAATACGTTCACGAATGAAGCTGACAAAGAGAGCTTTGCGGGGTGGAGGAGATGTCGTTACATAATAGTCTATGATGCTGCCACATCTGACATGAAAGACGCCAGTTCGCTGATGAATGTTCTTAAAAAGTTTACTGCAGAAGGGTGGAGCGGTGAGGGATTAATACTTCTTGGGGGCTTCAAAGCTTTTTCATCTCGCTTTCCCACTCTCATTCAAGGACAGCAAGTTCCAGTATCCGACTCACCCGCGGGAAGACCATCTCGAATGCATATTGATCTTCCAAGTGTCGCCCCTGTTGCAGGCGGCTGTGCTCTCCCCGAGTCCTCCCATGCCGCGATCCCTTTCTTCGGGAACATACGACAACACATGGATCTCATCGGCGGTGTCGGTCAGATCCCACTTCAAGTACCTCACAGTTTTTCAGAATCCAAGAAACGCTTACTCCCTCCTTGGCTGCGCGAAGTGTCAGAGTCCTCAGATAAAGGCCGCAAAGTTTCAGAAAAGTTTCTGGGTCTGGAGAAAAAGGAGCTGGAACGTATGAAGAAGGCATTGTCTTACGAGAAGTCTACCGATGCCGCTACAATAAATGACTCTTCGGAAAACTTTCGCGTGGCGGGAATTGAAAAAGGCACAAAGAATAGATACAACGACATTTACCCATTCGATCATTCCAGGGTGAGGTTGCAAAATGTGTCACCCGGAGGCTGCGACTATGTGAACGCAAATCACATGAAGGCAGCTTATAGTGGTAAACATTACATAGCTACCCAAGCACCCGTACCTGATACGTTCAATGTAAGTATATGCCTTTCGTGGAATAACGCACATATTTACGTGTCGAATGCTCATTCGTCTCACAGGACTTTTGGCGCGTTGTTTGGGAACAGGATGTCCGCCTGGTGGTTTCTTTGACTGCCGAAGTTGAACGGGGACATGTCAAATGCCACCCTTACTGGGAATCTGGCAATTATGGGCCTTGTCAGGTCAACAACTTTTCTCAGAAATTCATCTATTTGGATGCGCAAGATCCGCAGCCAACTGATATGGAGCTTGACAAGCCGGAAGATACTGGCAGTCCCTATATCATTGTCAGGCATTTCGGCTTGTCGCACTCATCATTTCCATTTCAACCCTTGCGCGAAGTAACGCAGCTACAATATCCCCATTGGCCTGATTTTGGGACCACATCTCAACCAGCACACCTTCTTAAACTTATCGAGCAGTGTGATAAAGTTACAGCAGCAACAACTGGATCACAGCCTGGTTCTTGCGATGGACGCGCAAACTCAAGGCCGGTATTGGTGCATTGCAGCGCAGGATGTGGCCGTACTGGGACATTCTGCACAGTGGATAGCGTGCTGGACATGTTGAAGCGACAACGCAGTGCAGCGCATGCCTCGGGTGGAAATATGAACCAATGTTCCCATACCGACAATGTGGATCTCATCGAAAGAACGGTAGACGACTTTCGAACGCAGAGGCCAAGCATGGTGCAAAATTTGAGCCAGTTTGTTCTGTGTTATGAGAGCGTCTTGGAATGGACACTTGCGCAGATGGGGAAAGAGCAAGATATAGGAGGTTGCTGAGGGGTCTTTCATTACGGTTAGACGTTTAGACACTGGGGATGGTCGTGATAGTAGACGGCTTGGATATATTTCTCGTTATGTCATATGCGTACAGGGTTTAGCAATGAAGTTTTGGCCCTCTGTACATCCCTCATCTCCCCGTCTTCTTCGAATGATCAGGCACATGTCAGCATAGCGAAGACACTGAATATTTCCTATCACCGGTTACAATCTTCCAACTTTCCTGCTTTTAGATAAGCCCTGTAGATCCCTTTGCCCGAGAGACTGTGAATAATATATCGGTCGGTCAAAGCGGGTGGATCCGGACAACATAGCGGGTGTGCTCTTCACTAGTACATTAAGTCTCTAGAATACTTCCTTACATTTAGCAAATACTATCCTGCCATTTCAGAGCCGCATCATATTCAAGGTCTCTAGTTAAACCGCAGCAAGGTAATTGATTGTAGAAGCCAAAAGGTTGAATGCAAAGTTATGAGAGTCTCGACAGGCAGGCAACAACAGGTAACGACGGCAGCGGCGGCGGCTGCCTGAGATTCTGCTCATATAAGGAAAGCGAGCAACCCCCAAAGCAAATACTAAGCAAAGCTCGTCCCTGACTATCCACAATACTTTCCGGTTCTATTTTGGAGCTAGAACGTAAGACACTACTACGCACCAGGTTGTACAATCTCATTTCAACCCTCTTGAGTGAAGTACTTGGGCGACCTTTCCGAATCCTCATTTGACATTCAGCCTCAAAGAATTAGTCTGAATCTAGTGTCATGATCCTAAACCTCCCACCTGAACTTATTCAACTGGTTCTTCAGAACTGCAACACACCTGCTTTTTTAGAGGCAGCTTTCTCCTGTCGCATTATTCATGAGATCGCTTCCACTTGCCGAGAGGTTCTTCTGCATCACCTACGGCGAACACCGGGCATTGTTAATCGAGACCTACGCTCCCTCAGCTCAAAACAACTCTTTCGCTTGTTGACAAAGAATGCCTTCCAGCAATTATATGGTGCGCAATATCATGCAGATCGTGTAATTTATGACTTTGGGAACGATGTTCTCGATGTCAAAGCATCCGCCTTTTCAAGTTTCGATCACCAAACCCTTGCTCTTGTCGCGCGCGGCCGGGAGAAGGTCTATCTTTTTCGCATTGAACATGGCCAGCTCAGACCCCTCAGAGAGGTCAATCTCCCTTGTGACCGCCCTGGGATATGCGAAGTCCTCCAGACGGCGTTTGATGGAGATGGCGGGCTCTACGTCCTTCAGCGGTTTGTGCCTGCCATGGACGTGACTGATACAAACGCAAATCACCCATTTATCAAGCAAGCAATGCAGTCTAACATTAACGGAATGAACTACCTCTCATGTCACTCCCTTGACTCGCCTGGAGAGCCCGTTCGAGTGTGTGCTTTCCCAGATCATGCAAATTACAAGCCTCTGGCACTTGCAGCTATGCCAGGCGGCAGCTTTGCTATCTCGTGGCAGCACAATTACGATTGTAGCGAGAATGAAGTCGTGTTATACACGGCTTCAGCTAATCCGCATAGCAGTGCAAAGTCGGGTGTCATCGGTTCGTTTTTCTCTTTCTCAATTAACATGAAACTTTCGCCAGACCTGCCTGATTATGCTGACGCAACCTCAGATATTAGTTACGATTCTTGCGTCCTTCTGGAAAGGACGAGAGAGCAGAATGAAGGAGATAGGTTCGCCCAATCTAGAAACACTCGGAACTGTCTTGTCGGAAAAGGGCCCGTGGTGGGACTTGCGTTCAATGACAGATCTAGTCAATTGCTATTTCGGTACCGTGCACAAGCCTTGTACGGTTCATTCCAGAAGATCGATCTCTTGCCTTTTCCAACTCAGTCTGTACTGTATGAAAACTCATGCCCCGTGCAATTTTCAGATTATTTGACGCTGTTGTTCGGCATTGGAATACCATTTTTTGGTACACATGAAACCCGGGTGCAGAATGGTCTCTCAAGATGCCACTGGAAATACCTTTCTTTTGGAATAGCCACACATCGTGAAGAAGACTGGACTGTCGCGTGCCTCCTGACCTCTGAGGCTATTTGTCGAGCCAGTAACTGCGAGCATGAATTACATCTTGAGCGCGGACGGCGGTTACCGGACTGGACGATCGTGGCTCGTCTTCGTGGCTTTGAGAACTCGAATACCTCACTTGGTTGCATAGTTGCAGCTTCCAGGTTGGGAACTCGCATAGCTGTTGCGAACTGGAAAACAATTTATATCTGGGCGCTGGAGCCAGGCGCGTTGATTGAACATAATGCAACCGGATTTTACCCGGTCTCATCTTGGCCACCAGGCTCTGAGGCGATTGATTTGCAGCCTATAGCCCTCTCACTTGATGCTGTATGCTTTCAGCTACGCTTTGGTTTAGGTGAAAATGACCTGGTAGCCATTACAGACAGAGGTCTGGTATACTGTGATCTCGACCCGTCCGGGGGTAGTCACAGAACAATCTATCAATTGGGCATGGAAAATGCACCGGGTTCTTAAGAGCTTCTGGGCAAAGTTTATATCCAAGTGATTAGGAGTTGCAGAATCTTTTTGCTAACACTCCTTCTAAATCATCGGTCACTGATTGCATATTTGATCGTGACAATTAGAGATTGGGATTAACAGTAAGCAGTGCATCAACTGCGAAGTACAAAGATGGGACGATAATTTGAGTAAACATTTTCCATCCCCTATTCTGAACCAATTAATTATAGCACGGATCCATTGCACTTTATCATAATATATACATGAAGCTCCGGTTCCGGTGAGAGTGGGCGCATGCTACAAGTTACCATGTCAAGACATCATCTGGCCTACCTCTTCTGATCCTCCATTCTGGGAGGCGAATAATATCAGTGCTAATTCCCGTTTTCAAAGGGAGATGTATGGTAACACCACATCATCTATTTGCGCATAGCTGATGCCGGACACGCTCGCACGTTTCAGCATGGTTCTTTTTTCCCTTTCATGCCAGAGCCCACCGAGCATCTGGCGAAACTGGAATATGATTGTGGCATATGAGCTGAACTGAAGACGTTCTAGAGGGGACGCATAACCGGCTGGGACGACCACATTGATTTTGCTCATAATTAAAATAAGTCTTGGGGGGGTTTGCACCCAGCAACAAACCTAGCCAAGTAACACTAGTATACCATGTCTAAGGGAGAACAGTTGATCTACGAAATGATTGTGTCAAGAATCTACTGGCTTTCCCCACCGCCAGACATAGCCAAGAAGGTGACAATGAGGAAAACCCACCAGTATCTAGATACGTGTTAGACCATTCAGCCTGGGCGGAAAGCGATAGTTAGTGGGATGACCTACTTTTGGAAGATGGTTTTCTCGACGACTTCCTCCGCATTCTTGCCATCCGGACCAAGCACAATAGGCTGATTGAGATGTGGGCGTGGACCCGCTTGACTAGATAACAGCTCCAGCTTTGGGCTTACTGGCGTAGAAGGAGAAGAAGTTGATGAGGTGGACGGCAGCAAGTCAACGTAGTAAATATTGTTGGATGGGCCGACGTGAAGCCGAATTTTTGGCCTGTCGTTCTCACTCCCTATAAGGGAGGACCGTGAGGCGAGGGTCCCTACCCATTGTTTGGTGTTGGTAGACGTAGAGGTGTACAAGCCCAGGCGGATCAAGTCATTGGATACATCCTGCGGTTCGTTGTCACCGCACGCTGCGGCGATATTCGTTGATGAAAAGGTGAACTCCGGTTGCAAGGTGGTCGAATCGTAGGAGACGTGAGCCAGGACGGACGGTTCGGGAGAAGCTACAGGCCAGCATAGGATCTCGGCTGACTGTGGTTGAGAGGATGAGGAGATGGCCGCGGAGAGGGAGAATAGGGAGAGCGCAGGAAGGAGATTAAAGTAGGAGGACCGCATGATTCCTGAGCTGCAGATAAACAGTTGCTTGATCAGTTGAGGCGAGGGTTGAGTTTGGAGGGGAGGACGTTGTTTGAGACAAGAAGAAGAAAACCGAACGTCGAAAGGCGGGAAGGTTTGGAACCAGCTTAGCTTTACTGCATCTAGATTATCCAAGCTCCGGAGGGCAGCGAGCGGTGGAATGTTTGACTAGCGCGGAGAGTTACCCGCTAAATTACTACTACGTACTGATTTGAGTTCCCCGCATACTCTCATCATGAACAAAATAATATTTATATAAGTACAGATCGAGCGTCCTATTGTTTAATATTTCTTTTCTCTTTTGAATACTGTAGGTATATCCACTGGCAGCTATTCACAAATGGTCTTTTTACCTCCCATCCCCGCAGGAATATAAACAGGAAGAAGAGGAGGAAAGTGGGTCGGTCATAAGTACATAGTTCAATCATACTCAGGTACTTTTATGAAGGTGTGGGGGGGAGCTCCCAGAATAATCTCTACCGGATGATAAGTAAATTCATGGAGTTTGAACCAGTGCACCCAATCGACTATTTTTTCCTCTTTTGATTGCTGCTTGTCCCCTTCTGTTCTCATAATCTTCCAATTAACCCATTTCCTTCATCCCGAAGGTGCCTAACAAAGTCAGTCAGGTGTAAGTGTCTAAGTCTGTGTCACCCCAAGCAATCAATTGGCTGCAGTACCCATCAATCGCACAGAATCCTCCCCCCTCACCCCCTCCCTTCCAGTTCTTTTCTATTGCCTGTCTCTCCACAGCTGCCGTGCTCATTTTCATGCCCCATTATCGTTCAGATATAGACCTTTCCCGCTCGATCTCAGTGTCTCTCGCCGTTTCCATCCCAGCTCCATGGCCTCTATACCCCAAATGCCTTATCGACGACCCTCTCGGCAGGGTTCTAGGCAGGCGTCGATAGATACGCGAGATGAGATACAGGTCCGCGTAGACCATTATATTGGAATTGATGTTGGGACTGGCAGTGCCCGCGCTTGTATAATCGATAGCAAAGGCGATATTGTTGGCCTAGCCTCTGAGAACATCGGTCTTTGGCAACCTCAACAAGGATATTATGTACGTATTGGTGCCCAAACTTTCTCTTGCCTGGTCACCATCGTAAGGCTATGTGTGGCCTTCGATTGACTCCCCTGTCATTCAGGAACAATCTACGAATGATATCTGGCGATGCATCTGTGTAGCTGTTCAGCGCGCGATCAGCCAGCACAACATTGACACAGAGACCGTGAGGGGCATTGGGTTCGACGCGACATGCTCATTGTCGGTTTTTTCTAATGTTACGAACGAACCGATATCCGTGACGGGCCCCGACTTTAACTCGGACCGCAATGTGATCCTCTGGCTCGATCATCGTCCAGTGGAGGAAACCGAAAAAATCAATGCCACGAACCATAATCTGCTCCGCTATGTGGGCGGAAAGATGTCCATCGAAATGGAGATCCCCAAAGTCCTGTGGCTGAAAAACCATATGCCAAAAGAGCTCTTTGACCAGTGCAAATTCTTTGACCTGGCTGATGCCCTGACTTACATTGCCACCGGCGCCGAGCAGAGAAGCTTCTGTAGTGTAGTCTGCAAGCAGGGATATGTTCCCGTCGGGGTGGACGGGAGCGTAAAAGGTTGGCAGGAAGACTTTTTGGAGGAGATTGGTCTGAAGGACCTGTCAGAGGATGACTTTAAGCGAATGGGCGGTGTCGACGGGGTGGTGAGCCTTTTTCTTTGATGATCCTATCAACCACACGTCTTACCCTTTATCCACATCCTACCTGCCAATGAGTTTGACGGCTAACTGATGCTTCAGAATGGCAACTATCTTAGCGCTGGTGAACTGGTTGGCACATTGTGTGACAGAGCTGCCTCAGAGCTGGGTCTGCCCCCGGGGATTGCAATCGGCAGCGGCGTCATCGATGCCTATGCAGGTTGGATTGGCACCGTCGGCGCTAAGGTTGATCTCGAGTCGGAACAGCTGAGCTCTGACGTTGCCAAGAACGATAAAGCGCAGGCATTCTCTCGATTGGCCGCCGTCGCTGGAACATCGACCTGCCATCTTGCGATGTCCCCAGATCCAGTCTTTGTCCCTGGTGTCTGGGGGCCTTACCGCGATACTATTCAACCTGGATATTGGATGGCTGAGGGTGGCCAGTCCGCAACCGGGGAGCTGCTCAAGCATGTTATCGAGACTCACCCCGCGTTCAATCAGGCACTCTCGATCGCCGAGTCGTACAACGCCAATATCTATGAGTATCTGAACGAGCATCTTAGAGAAATGGTTCATGACCAGAAGGCTCCTAGTATCTCTTATCTAGGCCGACACGTTTTCTTCTATGGCGATCTTTGGGGCAACCGTTCCCCCATTGCAGACTCTGCAATGACAGGTTCTCTGATTGGGATGACGAGTGACAAGTCTGTGGATGGCCTCGCCATTCATTACTATGCCACGCTCGAATTTATCGCGCTACAAACCAGGCAAATTGTGGAGACAATGAACAAAGCAGGTCATAGCCTCGCCTCCATTTTCATGTCGGGCTCTCAGTGCCAAAATGACATCTTGGTAAAACTGATAGCATCTGCCTGTGACATGCCTGTGCTTATACCTCGCTATATTCATGCTGCTGTTTGCCATGGTGCAGCCATGCTGGGTGCCAAAGCCGCTAGTGCTGACGCAGAAGGCAAGACAGAAGATCTATGGTCTATCATGGACCGCATGAGCAAACCGGGAAAGAAAGTCGTCCCAACGACGGATAAGACGGAGAAGGCCTTGCTTGACGCCAAATACAAGGTCTTCCTGGAGCAATGTTACAAGCAGCAGGAGTACCGAGCTCTCGTAGACCAAGCCGTCGCCTCCTGGAAGTCCTAACCTACTTTATCCACTCAACATTTTTCTTTCGCGTTGCGGAAAATTACAGTCCCTCTTCTTTTTACTGAAGGATGCAGAGAGATCATGACAAAACTTGCGGGCAATGTTACTAGCTAGCGTGCAAAGATAGCCGTACTTGTTACACGCATCTACCATAGAATATTACGCAAGACATGCAAGCAGACCATGAGTAACCGATTATGAAAGTCTAATTATACAACTTCAATAATGTGGCAGATATACATGTTCGAAAAGCCCCAACCAACACGCAATGTTAAACAATTTCGGGCAATCTTGTCAGACTCTAAAACACGGGAGCAATGCACGCATAATCCGCAGCGAAAGTGTCTGCCTCAACCCTCGGGCGGACGGGTTTCCAGCCCTCACCAAGGATTTGACAGGCAGACACACAAATTAATATACACTCAAAAAGCCCTTCCACTCCTGGACCTACCGATCGTGTAATACTTCTCGACTGGACTCGAACCAAGGGCCAGCGTATCGAACCGATCGACACCCATGGTCTCCAAATTGCTGTAGCCAGAGAGATAGAATCCAATCACAACGACGAGGTACGTAAGAACGAGGATAGAGCCCTTAAAATAGTTGCTCTTTCCTTCGCCGTGCACGTAGGAGAGCAAAAAGACACAAAGGATTACGGACACCATGTCCCACTGCGGGAAGATAAGGCTGTAAGGGAAAGGTTGTTAGCAAGGTTTCTTGCTTCACACATTGTCTCTAAGGGACAAAAAGTACGGCATGATCAAACATACTTGAAGGTGTGGCTTAGTAGCTCAGAAGGATCGATGACGCGGGCGTAGAGAGCACTGAATAGAACTAAAGCAGGAATCTGCAAAAGGCAGACCTGGAGAGCGTAGGCTGAACCAATCTCCATGGACAGCGCGATATTGCCGTTCATAGCAAACGAAATAGCGTTCTGTGGGCCAGATGAATAAGTTAATCTGATCTTGCTGGCAGCGGTTATTGAGGAATACATACCAGAAACTCTGTTGTGTTGGGGACCAAGGCAAAGAGCGTGATTCCAAGGAACTTTTCATCGATGTCGACACTTTCCAAGACCACGTCCACCGTGTTCACGAGGATTTCTGCGATGACAGCATAAAGAATAGTAGCACCCAGAAGTATTATAGAACTTCTCGTTTTACTCCAGTTGGGTGCATCATGACCGCCGCTAGTATGGCCAGGCTCCAACCCGATATCCTCGCTTTCCTCAAGCAAGGTCTTCACTTGATCAGCGGGACTTTTAGCCGCTTGACGCGTGCTTGCTTGCTGGGCCAAGGGCTTCCTTGTTCGGGCCGCATCGCGAGCGGCAACAGCAGCAGCCGTTGCGGCAACCTCTGTCACCTGGCGCACAAGATCCTCATTGTCTTCATTGGACAGACCAGTGAAATTTCTCAGCCTGGGGTTGCTATCGTCGCCTTCCGTCCGAGGGGGCACAAGGTATGGTGTTGTGCTCTTTCCTTGCAAAGAGGAGGTAGAGTCGGATTGGGCGTTATGATCATTGGGGTTTTCAGATAGTCCGACCTGCTTTAGAGACTGCCCCAGTATGCGCTTGTACAGTTGAGAATCCCGAACCGAGCCCTTGGTGATGGAACCACCAGTGCTCCCAGCCTGAAGGTGAGGGAAATCGCCGTGTCTAGCTTCGTAGGCGGCTTGTTCGTTTGCGAGAGCTACAGCCTTCTTCTCCTCTACCTCTGTCGCCCAGATGAGAGCAGCATGGGTCCTCAGCGTGAACCATAACCCGATGACATAGGACAGGAACAAGAATATAGCAGCGAACCACGAATATGGCTGGACGGCCTTCCGGAAAAAGCTGTCATTCACGGCCGGCGTCTGAGAAAAATAACAGCGACGACAATCGCTGTCCTCTGTTCCTACTGTGGTAACGCATAAGCGGCAGTTGAGCTCATGCTAAAAACCAGGTTGTCAGCGAAAGTGCTAGATGGACAATCACACAGCAGACAGTGACACTTACGCTGCCATATATCTGGTAAAAGAGCGTGGGTCCGAATGCAGCAATAACCGCAAACATCAGCATTGTCGACGTGACGCCCGCAGACTTCACATTGAACCGCTGGGTCTTGCGCTTGATAGCGCCAAAGCACATGGAAAGTCCCGGAAGAAATAGGATACCTGCAAAGATGCTACCGATAATGCTGCCCTCAACAAGTTGCCCTTTGCCTTCGGTTA